ACAGGCTTTGATGCCTCTCGTTTTCTTGATTGGCGCGGAAAACTTTCGGGCAGCAAATTTCCTGAGGCGTCTTTTGATTCTTAACCCGTAGTTACTTATTGCGTAGTAATCATCAAAAATTGCCACATGAAAATGCTGTATGAAGTTGCCAGATCTCGATGGATGGTCATGCAATGTGATCAACACGCCTCCGGCAGCAAGCAAAAGCAACAAAAGCAAGATTTTCCCATGATCGTCTTTTTATTTGCCCCGCCAGTTGACTTGGTCCTTCACTTGTAGGAAGCGGGTATTGTCGTTGAGTTGTAGGCTAGCGGGGTATGAGATTCTCGGAAGCGCTCGTGAGAGTATGAAGTCCTTGCTCATCCCATGATTTTTGTTCGAAAGCTTTGATCTCAGTCGTTTCCGCCACTTTCCCAACTCCACGCGCTTGGTACTGAGAGGCGTAAAAAGACATCGAGATCGTGGCAAAAGGAATGCGGTGACTGGACCTGGCTTCGATAATCGTGCTTATGGTGGCGCCCGCGTCTGGAGGCTCGTATCACTCCCACTCGCTGCGAGGCTGACCAGGCTTTGCCGGTATCCAGGCTCCAAGCTCAACCCTGCAGTTAAATTCAGAAACGGGCCAGAAGAGCATGGAGATCATGCAATCTAGGACTTCGTATGATGTCAAGAAAAGAGGAAATGGGAAGTCAGGACGAAGTTCATTGAAGCCACCGCTTGAGAGTCTTGAGAGTCTACTTCCTTCGGGCTTTGAAAAGAAAAGAGGAATGTCAGACCCCTCTAGTATGGCGAAGTACGGCGTACGCAGTGCTAGTAAGCGAAAGGGGTAACCCGGTGAAAAAAGGATCCCCCAGCCAGCCCTGTTGTTCCCTGCTGACCACATGCGGGAAAAAAGCTCTCAACACACCCATGGATGCACCAGCGGGCCGCGGACCTAGATCCAAGGAAACGAACAGGGGAAAAAAGGTTGGGGGCGCCGTGGAGATGCCCGCTTAGAGTTATCCGATGGAGCATTTTTCTCTTGATTTTTGCCCGACAGCAGCTATATTCTCTTTCCACTTTTATTTGCGATTGGCAGGTAACGAAACCCACAAAACGAAGACAAAAATAACTCCTTTACCTATTTAAAGTTGGGACGATTGTTATTATTCTCAATTGGCCTGCATGCACAAGCTGTGTCTGAACAGCAAAACTAACACGAACGAGGGGCCAGAAATTTTCACGGAATGAAAAAAAGCAATAAAAGGAAAAAGAAAAGGATGAAGAAAAACCAATCAGAACCAGCATGGATTCTCAACATTCCAACCAGGACCTCGAGAGCTGTCTAGAAAGATTCTAGCGCTCTTCTAGCTTTCAACGGAGTGTGCTCTCTCTGGCCCCACCATCTTAGCGCGTCTCCTGTGGGTTTCTCGGCTGGCTTTATGGATCATTTCCATGGATGATGGATCAAGGTGCAACGTGGAAGTGGCAATGGTGCGACCCCATCCAGCCTCCATAATTATTCTCTCCCGAGCAAATGGAAAGCTGCCTAAGCCTCATCCGCCATCTAACGAATTGAAAATTTTTTGAGCTTTTTTGCTTTGGTGAGAACTGCTACGATGGATGTATGTATATCATTCTCACTGTGTCCTCTCGCTGGCTGCGGTGGTAAGAAAAGGGCTGATAAGTAAAACAAACGGCGTCTCGTTGAGGAGCGCATCACAGCCTAACTTCCAAGGTGGTGGATTTAGAATAATGACTCGTTCGAGAACCGGGTTGAGTCAGAGCTCTCCGGGAGTGTGGGTAAGCGTGGGTGACGCCTTTTTCTCTTGATCGGAGTTGGCGAACCGGGTCTCATCATTCTCACGTTGCCATCTGTGAACCGGCCCTGGTCCCAGTTGTATTGGTCCCAGCTGTACTCCGTATTAGTTTTCATGTTGGAGGTCGATGACCGAGATTCTTTTTTTTATTTTATTATTTTTATTTTTCAAACGCTTGCAGCCGGCAACGGCAGCTAGCCATCACCATCCATCATGATAAATATGGAGAGCTGAAAGTCCCCGCTAAGAGAAGATCAGAGAGAGCCAGAATACTGCCGAAGTCGCTTAGGAATGGGTATGCATATCCATATCCATCGATTGACAATATTATTATCACCTCATCAGAGTTACAAGTAGCTTCCAGACACACTACCCATTGCCCCATACGATCCATGCATGTGCCACGTGGAAGTCAACAAAATAAAAATTGTTTTATTTTGATTTCGTGCAACTTTTTATCATTTTGCTGCCTTGGTGCTTGCTCTGCAAACAGAGAAGATTGAGACTTTCACTCTTGAAGGAGCGTGTGTTATTTGACAAGGACATCATATTCACTAAACCTTGAAAGCAACCAATTGTGACTGAAATGAGTGTGGGTGTCTGACGCCTCTGCCGTCCGGGTTGAGGGAGGGGTTGGTCAGATACTTCAGACAGGCGGCGAGGTGAACAAAGGAGAGGGTCGATGGTAATGAGTTACGTAGTTGGATCACAGGGCCTTAGCAAGCCTCTAAAGTATGCATGAACCTTTCGGAGTCCTCTGTCTATTGTATAATTTAATCGTTGTTTGTTGCCCTTGCTGCCCTGCTCGAGAGACATATATTTCTTTTATTTTCTTACAATATTGCTATGCAACCACATCTCACCTCTTGTCGGTCTTCGATGGATTTCGTCGTCACCAGCACCCGCCATCATCATCATTATTCTCCGTTGGCAATCTGTGTGGTGTGGTCGCGTTACGCTCGCTAAGCAACATCCATTTCTTAGGGTGAAACGGGCACAGGGGTCAAAGGGCAACAGACACTTCCCCATGGCACCAAACAAGCCAGTCGGGGATGGTGGAACGCTGGTTTGAGAAATCTTCCGCCTCACAGTTTTATTCGCCATACGCATGTACTTCTTTTCCCCTCAACTTTTGCAACTCCCATTCCCAACCAGGTAAATAGACATTCAACGCCTCTCCTTCGTTGCTAGGAGCCGAACATTCCCAATATGCACCAGAGGGGCTGTCAGTCCTTGTTTGTGTTCTCAATTTGAAGTTACCATTTGAAATAATCTTTTAAGTCAAATTGATGTGCACAAGGAGTCGGCATTTTATCCAGTAATTCATAGAGATTGTATCTGTAAATGTATGGGCATTCTTTTCGTTAGTGTTACTGTAAGGGAACTAAAAGAAAGTCAATATATGTTGAGTTCAGTTCTCAGATTGTTGCCTATCTGCCAAAGTAGGCTGGGAATAGCTGTTGGATTCATCCAGACTCAAGCCAACCACCCAGGTTGGTGAGAGAAAAGTTGGTTGAGGCCTATCTTGTTCCTCATTATTGAATGCTCTTTCCTGGATACAACCCCTGCTAAGCGGTTTAAAATTTCTGATATCATTCTGTTCATTTCCTTTTCTGTGAATATTTAGCATGATCTATCACTTCTTTCCTGTCCATCAGGCGCGTCTTGCTCACCAATCACCAGGAAAATCCAACTGTCCTTTTCGTAAGTCTCGAGACCGATAGCGGACTGTACAACGAGTCATATTTATGGAAATGCCATCCGGGCCAGTTTGATCCCAGCGCTTTTCGGCAACGTATCACTTTTTCCACATGGACCATCTGAAGATCGGTGCCACTAATCAGCCATGATTAGACGCCCTTTCTTGTTTCAGGGCTAGCCCAGGCACACACGCTAAGCGTTAGAAGGGACATCACCGTCTGTCCTACCAGAGGCAGAGTACCGATGTGGTGTGTGAAGGAATGAACTTAGATGCTAGGTGGAAAGGACTGAAGAAGATTGATTCGTCCCATTGCGCAGGTAGATCGAAGGAGAAAAGAAGTCCAGGGGAGCAATCAGGCGGCTACAAGCCGAGCCAGAGCTTATGAGAGACACTGGATCTTCCGAAGCCCCCCTAAAAACGCCTAGTTTAGGCCTTACGGAGTACCTGGCGGAAGACAAGAAGCTAAATCCTGGACTTCCCACTGTTCCATCGCCAGCATCCATACCAGGATTCAATGGGGGCTAAGGTTAGCCACAACTACTGGCCTCAGGTATTTTAGTTAGAATGTATCCACTTTCATTTCTTTCTTTTTCCGACTCGGGTTTAAGATCATTTTAAGAGCTACTAAAAAAAATTGAATAAAAATTAAATAAAAAAAAATCCTGTAAAACTTGCGAATAGCCCAGGATATATTTTCTGGTGGCTTATCCATTTTCACAAAGGGGAAATGTGGGTTTAACCAAAAAAAAAAAAAAAAAAGAGAGAGAGAATATTGATATAGAGAGCTGGAATACCTCTATTGCCTTTTCTACCAAAACTTACAAAGAATATCGAAAAGAACTGATGCCGTCTGATTGTCGTTCGTTTCAGGACACACAGATTTGTGACTCGGATGCTAGCTGTGCCAGTCTGACGGGACGCGTTGTGGAGAAGGAGAACAGGCCAGGATGTAATCATGATACGGGAGCTGCTTGCGTTTTGCAAAAATAGCAATAATACTAGTACTGAGGCCAACTAGTTAGCATGGCTGCTAATAGCGCTGCTGATGACGAAAAAAGACGAGATTTTCTGTTACTGCCGTATTGAAGGGTATCCACTCTTCGTTGCTTCTTCCCCAGCAATTTGGAAAATATGAGCTCTAACCAAGAAAAGGGGCCTGGCGAAGATCGTTTTCTGTACTTCGTTCCGTGGCCTAGGACGGTCCATCCATTCCAATTTTATTACCTGCCCTGGTACGGAGTAGCTCTGTTCATATTAATATGCGGCGGACCTCCCAGCGTCTCGCCTGGGCTTCCTTGGGTTTTATTTTTTTCCCTTTTCATTCTTTTTCCCTTCATCCCTTCTCCTCCTCTCCAGGCGCTAAGGCCGTTGCTCTCCTCATCCCTATCTCTCTCTCTCTCTCTCTCTCGCCCTTTGGCTGTTAAACCCACAATCTTTAATAGCGCTGCTTAAAATCGACTTCCATTTATCTTACTGCCTTGCCTCGGTTTGACCTCCTTTTCCTCTTGTCGCACGACCTCCATCCTGCTATCAGAACACAGACTCTCTCGTTCATTTCCCAAGGCGCAAAATACCACACATCCGCTATTGACTCATTCGAGCGCATTCTGCCTGTTCTGTCTCTTCCCTCCCTCTAAAAGTTGCCCTATTCGACCGCTGGAACTTATTGTGGACATACGACGTTGGACGACGCTGCCAATTGTTGCATTCTTACCTTGCGTGAATCAATTCCCTTGTTGGACTTGCTCAGCCGTGGTTGTGATTCCGACAAGCCTCGATTAGACCTGGGTGGTTAGCTGTGTATTTTCATAGCGTGAGTTGGCAATCCATACTTTTCTTTTTGTTTTTCTTTAATGCAGGGAGCTATTCGTTTGAGTGAGCCGTTGGCAATTTTTCTTTGTTGCTCTCGGTTATGTATATATAGCCGGCAATGCGAGCTGCCCACCCATTAGTTTTCAACTGTTTACTCTTTACTGTTGTTATTTTTTATTTTGTTTTCATTTTCACTCTTGTTGTTATTTTTTTCTTAAAGAAACGAGGAAAAAATATCGAAAAGAAAATCAACCGAGGCAACATTCGAATGTGACTTGGCCATTTAGCTGACCACCTCCACAGCTTAATATAGATTTTGCCTATGATCCTTAGGGACTTGTCAACAACAAACATGGGAAGAGGAGCATATGACACAACTGGCGTGCCTAAGCCGCAACCTCCCCCGAAACCGCGATGACCTGCCAATTTGGCATCAAAGGATGCGATGTATGGAGCCAACGGCATAACCTACCACCTCCGTGAGTACCCAGTCAGGGTATACTCCAGGCGGCATACGTACAAATATTTGATGGAGATAATTCACCTCTATCGCATCGTTTCATCCTCTACCAAGCCTCATCTATCATCGAACAACCCACCCATTCCAAAAATAAAAAAAATCAGAAAATACTTTCGACTTCTCCGTTCTTCATGCACAGTACCGGTGCATGGTCAAGAGCATACGATTGACATTCAACCAAATATACTTTTTTCCCTAATAATAACCGGAGACCGGTCTGTACCACCACCATTATGACGTTTTGATACCTCTCGCTATCGTCGATTCCCCTTATTTGCGAACTTGTTAGCGTTTTGTACGGCATACCCGTTTCCGCAATTTTTCGATGTACCAGTGGGAATAATCCACATTTCTACTTCCATTTCCTTGAGTCCCCAAAAGCGCGACACTGAATTTTTTTCCCTTTTATTTTCCCTAATTACATTTTAATATTGTTCCCTATTTTTTATTTCTTTAATTTCTTTTACTGTTCGTTTTGATTTTATGGCGTTACCCAAAAAATTATAGACAGGAGACTTTCCTTACGGCTATGAGAGATATACTACAAGACCTAGATTTTCGACTTCGCGGTCCTATCGTTCTTTTTGTGTTTCATACACCTTTATATTTTTTCCTTTTAAGTCTGTTCGTCATGTTAGTTTTTAATTGGGCTTTGGTTTTCTCCTTTTAGATCTATACCAATCTCGCGTGTACAACTACTATTCTATTATGGCGAACACAGTTTTTGACTTTTGCAACGCATTCTTTTTGCGCTAATCAATGACAGCTAGACCTGACAACATACATAACCCAATAATCCTAGTTAATTATCAGGGTGGTGCCAGGGACATAGCTACGCATCGTTGGTCAAAATTCATGGTGGATGTATTTTGACTTTTGGGCTTTGCATGTGAAAGCCTGCGTGCTAGCTGTACAGTACGTTCCTGGATTCAAGTTCTGAAGAGGAGCTCTTGATTCGTTTCTCTGCTCTGTTGACTTGTCCAGTACATGTGCTATCTGTTATTCATCGGCTCCTTCCCTTACACCCCCCTTTTATGGCTTACCCCCCGAGACACGTATCACTGTTCCTCCCATTTGCTTGACTTGTGGACTTGGGGTTTTTCTAAACATCCGCCTATGGGAGCCGGCCTGCTGTTTTCACCCTCTTGCGTGCGAGATGCTTTCCATAGCACAGCCCAAACCCTATCTTATTCCTATTGGTTTTGACCGGGACCCATGTCACTTTTTGTGTTGCTTCTCAAATTGCAGTCTGTCCAGATATCGCTTTCCCGCTTTTGCCGTGGATATCTCCCTTGCACTAACTTGCTCCTCTTGATCCACCCATTGAACGGACCGCTTCTCGCAGCTATATAGACCAATCAATTGTTTTGGTGATAAACACCCCTACAGCCTCTGTTTTTTCTGTGGGTTTGCCACTGTGCCTTGCCTGACAACAAATGAGACAGACCTACAACGGCGTGCCTGTTTTTAAACTACGTTTTTCCCCTTTCTCCTATTGCAGTCGCTCTACGCTTAGGTCTTGTATCTTCCATTTTTAGAGCAACTGCATATATGAGCGAATCATATATATCTTGTCCCAAAGCATGTCGTGTCATCATTAAAAAGCGGGGATTCTTCCCTTTTTTTTTTTTTTTTTTTTTTTTTTTTTTTTTTTTTAGTTCCCATCTTACTGTTTATTTTATTTTTGTTATCCCGGGCAGGATGTTGTAAAACAAAAGGAAAAAACGCGATCATGCATATATGCAGGTAAACGTATATCTCTCCCCTACGTACCTGGGTCTGGGTATATAATTGCGGTGCTTTTAAGACATGTGAAATGAGAGAGAGAGAGAGAGAGAGAGAGAGAGAGATGTGGAATGTGGAACAAACTGGGTTTTATCATGGCTCCCCCTGGAGTTCATTCTCTCATGTCTTGAGGGTTTTCTTCTTACGTCAGGGTGGAAGACACATTTCGAAGTAAGAAAATTAAATAAAATTAAATAGAAAAGAAATAATCATAATAATCAAAGAGAATACATAGTAAATAATCAAAAGAAGATCCTTGTCAGCGATCTCAAAATTCCTTTTTATTGTGCGATCTTAGTCACTTTGCTTTTTCTCCCGTAGCGTGGGGGAGATCATTTCCTTCACAGACACAGGATAAGTAAGCAATGTGCCTGTGAAAATCTGAGAGGCTATGCAAACTGGCGGCTGAGTGAGTTAGATAGATATCATTAAGCAGATTTAGTATTATTCTTCTATATACTCGTATGCAAGCAGACCCTATGGTGAGTCCTTGTATGATGTTAATACAAGCAAAGAGTTTGTTGTGCACAATTCACAGCCCAGGAACATTAAGCTAATCAGGTGCATATCCACCTGAGGGTCACGTCCCTTTACACTGGGGTATTATATTATCGGAGTAGAGGAGAAAGCCCTCAGGCTTCTCTGCAAAAGAGATTGCAGAAAATATATGAATGAGATTGTTGAGAAGCAGATTACTGAGATAAATGCCTGCTCTCTCTCTCGCTATTTTCACATGCTGTTTTTCTCTTCTTATTAGTAACATTACTGACTCTGTTATTTTGAACAGTATAGTATTGTAGAGTTGCTGATAAATAAATATGATTTAGTTAAATCCACGTATTCAATATAAAATACACTCACTTGAGTGTTGGGCATATACTGCTGATTCTTCATCATGACTGATGTCTGAACTTGCTTGTAATATCTTCCTGATAATAGCATACAGGAAAGATGCAAGCACTTCTATAGTCTGATGAGAAAAGAAAGGATATAGAAGAGTGACAATACATATGTAGTCGTACAAATAGTGAAATAAAATTTAGAAATTCAAAGAGTTCTTAAAAAAATGAAAAATAATAAAAAAGACCTCAAATGAACGACCAGATGAAGCCGGAATTAGGTGGTGGTTGGCAATGTATTGTGCAAGGTGGTGGAGTAGAAATTCGGAAAGGGAATATCACATTAATCACAGCACTGGGTCATTGCTAGGTTCAACGAGCCCATCATTCAAGTCTTGATTCTGGTCGTGCAGATAGCCCTTTAGAGGATATTACCGGTTTTCGTCGAGCAAAATCGATGCACTGAATGTCGGATTACGCAACTACCACTCCACAACCTATTGTTATCGGAGGCTCAGATGTGACAAGAGGTACTGCTAGAGTCAGAAGACGTCTCGTGCTATACAGTATTGCTCCCAAGCATAGTCTCGATGCCTTGGAGCTCTTTGTTAAAACTGTTGGAGGAATTGGATTGGGAGTTTTTACTACCAGCATGTCGTTGGTGGTGAGAGATCTCCTTTTCTCCAGCGGCCTAGAAAAACAAGTCTTCATCAACGCCCTCTTTTTCTATTGCTGAGTTAGCAGACACATGAGACAGAGCTCTCTAGCTAATGGCTCATTCAAAATCAACTATGTATCATCACATGTTGGCAGGTTGGGTTACAAAGTATATTTCGCGACTCCGCATCGCCATGGAGAACGCCTTTCAAGTGAATAGCTTGAAGGCCACGGTATACCATGGAGGACGCATGTGTGGTATGGCTGAGTAGTAAGTAGCCTGGCTTTTAGATTGCTTCTCCTGCCAACTCAGGAAGAAAATGTGAGTGTAGATTCCGTCATCGTAGTAATAGGGTTCTTTCAATGCCAGCTGGACGACACCAGGAAAGACTGGAATGCATTCACCTTGGAGATCTGGGAGCTTATCATAGATAAGCTACTCATGTTCGAGCATATGCAGATGCTAGGAAGTGTGGTAATGTTGTAGGTTCTGAATTTGCCTTCACTTCTTCACATCATCACTGCTCCTCCTGACGGGATTGTTTTTCCTTTGCCCGCGCTTCGGCAACTTCTCGCAATGTGCTGTCTTCTTCTCGCAGTCATCTCACTTTTGCGAGTTCAGCTAGTAGCTCTTGCACTCGGCTCTCCATTCTGGTTGCCGGAAGCGTTGAGCTAGTGAAATGTTAGAAGTTCTATGATAATTTGCTAGTAGCGCTTAAAAAACGGGATAGTTGCTCTGTAAAAAGCATACTTATTTTGTGGGAGTAAGGCTGACCCGGGAAGTAACTATTACGAAACCGTTCGAAGTGTAATTGCATGACGAAGATAGAAGAGGATCCATCATATGGAATGCGGTTATTGTTAGCTATACGGCTCACACACAGAAGATTGCTTGCTGGCAGGAGCTCTCCTGCTGATACGACTCCTCCAACTCCGAAATTCCTAAGCTCCCATTCCAACTTGGCTAACCATCGATTCGAGGATTGTCCTCTTTCTCCGGAGAACTTCTCACATATATTAAAGGTCGGGTCTGGGCCATCTTCGCTGATCTTGAAGGACTCAGTTGCTGATATTGCCCTTTGGCTGAGATCGTTCTGAGTGTGGGCGTATTAGGTAATAACTTTGTCCTTGGGTGGTGGCGGCTAGTCCTAACTAAGTAAGGTGCCTCATCATCAACCTCCACCTTTTCCTCCAACCTTGGAAACGAAGACCCTCTTCCACGCCGAAAGCTCATACGGAGAGTCATCCAACCTTGTGGATTTCGCTGGAAGATACATTTATTCTTCTGCTTTTCTCTTGTCCTTCTTGGCTTTTTCTGTCCCACGAGTCTGTATTTGCGGGGAGGGCACAACGCTAGCTCCAATTCCAACAATTCGACTGCCTGGACGTTCCCAGGCATCAAACGGAACAACCACAGCTCCTGGGCCCCAAAGGTTGCGCCAACGTCCTTCCGTCATCTATTTTGAACACTCTCCATTTGCCTCTTTGCACAGGAGGACACCATCAAGCGGAACAGGAAAGCCTATATATAATCAAAGGCTCTTGAATAATCACTTATTCTCAGGAGCTATCCGAACTCCGCGTTGGCTGGTCGAATAATCAACTACGACTAATTCTATACGTATACATTTTCCTTATTTTGACGTTGAGAAAAGAGTTGTTATAAAAGGAAAGCAGAGAGATACGGCATTATGGCAGATGTGGGGGCAGGTCCTAAACCTAGCAGCAGCGTGAAGCTCGTTCTGCTGGGAGAAGCTGCTGTTGGAAAGGTTTGTTGAATCCCATCAAACCCAATAGTATTAGATATGGGCCTCTACCATGGGGGAACTCTTATGATATGTTTTGAGATTCTTCTACTAATTTATGGATTTACGTCTGTTGCAGTCTTCTCTCGTCCTACGATTTGTAAATAACGATTTCCAAGAAAACAAAGAACCAACGATAGGAGGTATGGGTCCTCGTTATCCTTTTGCGAACATCTTACTCCTCCAAATTTTTTGTGACCCAGTCAATGTCCCGTGGACTAACGTAACATTCAACCCACATCATCAATTGTAGCCGCATTCCTCACTCAAAAATGCTCCCTCCCAAACAGAACTATCAAGTTTGAAATATGGGACACAGCCGGACAAGAACGCTTCGCCTCCCTCGCCCCCATGTACTACCGCAATGCCCAAGCCGCACTTGTCGTCTACGATCTCACAAAGCCTTCCTCCCTTATAAAGGCTAAGCATTGGGTCGCCGAGCTCCAGCGACAAGCCAGCCCAGGCATCGTCATTGCCCTCGTGGGCAACAAGATCGATCTAACAAACGAAGATCCCAGCGCAGCAGGAGCGGCAAAAATACCGGACACACAAACTTGGCCTCCTGGCAGTAGACGATCCGCCACTGGTTCACCAGGACCGGACGCTTCTGAGGGTGGCGACAGTGAATCTTCTGTTGCTGATCGAGATGGCGAAGAAGGTGGGGAGGGAGACCTGCGGGATTCTGCGGCTGGCGATGCGCGAAAGATCTCTACTCGTGAGGCAAGCTCGTATGCGGAGGAAGAAGGGCTTTTGTTCTTTGAAACCAGCGCAAAGACCGGCGCTAACGTGCTTGAGGTCTTCACTGCGATTGCCAATGCGATTCCGGAAACGAACCTGAAGGGACCGAGGGGTGTTGGTGCCGGCGCCGGTGCGGGTAATAATGGCCTGGGTGGGAGGCCTGGGGAGGATGCGCGGATTAATTTAAGGGATCGTGGGGCGTCTACTGCGAAGGAAGGGTGTGCTTGCTAATTGATGATGGCATTTTTTTCTTTGTCGTCACGACCCTCCGAAAGCAACTTGTGGACGGTTGAATATGGTTACATTGTTACGCTTCAGTTGTTGCGACAGCTTTAGGGCTCCAGTCAAGGAAGGATAAGCGCCGTTCCCACGGGTAAACTCCTTTTCCGTCTTTAATGTGTAAACCCTTTTTATTATATTATATCTACTTTTCATTTCTTTCTTCGTTTGTTCACCTTATCTCTTATTCCTGGTTCTCTTATCCATCTGCTGCTCTATCTTTTAATTCGTTCCATTTTGTCTTCTATCATTGTGTATCCGTCCGTATTTCCCGTTTTGGTTCGGTTCGAGTTCTGGTTTCAAATCACTTTTTTGAGATTTTGTTGTATAAACATCAGTAATGCAACTTGATAAAACCTACGGAATAAAATAGAGCTTGTTAGCTTTGGCTTTTTTTTAATTTGGCCCCTCCACTGAAGTCCTTTATTCCGTAAGAGTATCTTGCATTCAACTATGAGCCACTTCTTAATTACAACCCTTCGTAGGACACCAATTTTCTTCTCTTTTTCTACTACCTTTTTTCACCTTTTTTTTTTTTTTTTTTTTTTTTTTTGATGTTTTTGATTTTCTTTTTCCCTTTTTTGTTTTGTTTAAACTAGAACGAGCATAAACTTCAACAGCTAGCGCCTCATCCCTCCCTTTACCTTATTTTTGCTTCCCCCCCACCTGCGGAGACAAATAGAGAGAAAACTCCGACCACAAACAAAAAAAGGAAAGAAAGCGGAAACTAAACCCATGGAGAAGGAATATATTAAAACGGTGAAGAAATAATGAGTGCTCAAAACCAACACTAGATCAAATGAAGGAGGCGCAATGACTTGCCACCACCCCCGCAAAGTAATATGAATAGACCGTGCATGATGAGGAGAAAAGGAGGGAAACATAATGAGCAAAGTGGGCAATGGAAAGCAGCAAGGTAAGAAACAATTCGCATAGGAAATTAAAAAATTTTAAAAAAAAAAAAAGGGGTAAGGACCAATTTCAAATTCAATTTCATAACCCATCTGCAGCCTCCACCCACCCGAACATCACCCCAGTCACACACGTCGCAAGAGTCCAAATCGAACCCCATCCTACTGCCCCTTCCACCTCTGCCCCGTTAATCGTCCCCACAACTTGCACCACGGTATTAAACATAATCATCACTGCCAATTCTATCGTGCGCGAAAGCAGCGATCGCGTTTTCGCCGGTAACTCCAGCCAGTACTTGCGATATACCGACATGACGAGCAACTCACCGGAGGGTGCCTCATCACCCTGCTCGCGCGCCTCTTTCCCCGGACGTGTAAAATCGACTGCGGAGTCCTCTATACGCTGCTCGTCAAGCCGCTCTGCGCCGACAGAGCTGACGAAGAGAAAGTCGCGCAGGGCGTAGCCGGCGGGTAGCAGGGTGGCGAGGAGAGAGATGAAGCTTTTGGCCCCTGCGTGTGCGATGCGTATATCGGGGAGCCCGTCATAGTAGGTTACGAGGTAGGTTGGGAGCCAGGTAACAACGCTGGAGTAGAGAATGAGAGTGTAGATGCCAGAGGCGACAAGGGTGGTGTAGGCGGTTGTTGGGCAGTCTGCGAGGATTGTGGGGTGGCGGAGTTTAATGTCATCCTTGGTAGTTTTGGTACCGCTGATGGCGGAAAGGGTGGTGTGGCCATCGCAACATTGGAAACCCATGAATGGGTGCATTTGATGTATGCGGCTGGGGCCGCGGAAGACGAAGAATGGGATGGCGGTCGACAGGAGGGTAATGAAGGCAACTGTCATTAGGGTGGTTGGACGGATGCCGTAGAAGCTGTAAAGGAGGACGTAGGTTGGCAGGTGAGTTAGGTACGTGAAAGTTGCAGCGTCGCGGGCTGAATGCACGTTAAATAGTTAGCATCTGAATTGTATGATGAACGCGCTGAATTATTTGCATGTGTCAGGCGCTGACCGTCATATCCTGATAGCCAGGCAACTGTTAACTCAGTAGTTCTCCATGCAAGCAATCCCCCGATCCCCCACCAGGAATCGTATTGCCTGCTCGTCCAGGCCAGATCTCCCTGTGTAATCTGTGAGCTTAACGAGAATAGCCCAGTGCTGAGCGCCAAGCTGCATATCACCAGGCTGCTGTACCGACACAGAGCGCGAAGCCAACGGGGAGCTTGAAAGTGCCACCCTGTGGGCAGTGATTCATGGGGAGTATGTTTTCCTTTCCGCCCATGGCTTGATTTCGTAGTCGTCGATTTTCGAGACGGCATGGTTAAACAGCTCGCTCGTGTGGCGACAGGGATTGGTGGGCAACAACAGGTTGGGCGCTGGCGCGTTTGCTATTTTGTTAATGTCGAAATGAACTAGCTGAAGAAGCTCAGGTCCCCAGTGCTTGGGCACCTTGTGGGTGCCATATGGACGTATCTCGGTATCTATGTATTCAAGTGTCGTGTCAGACGTTTCAACACATCTTGGATGTTGTGATGTCACGATTTGTTTAAAAATCTGGGGGTCGCGCTTGGCGAATGCTGATTGGTCAGCAGAACCGTCCTTAAGATCGCAGAGTTTCTTTTCTTGCTTTCTTGATTAAGGTTATTTATAGAAGAGTTAATGTGTCGATTAAAATTTTAATATATATTCTCCATGTATGAGGTCTTTGGGAGAAGAAAATTAGAAGAGAGAGTAACGAACGGATAATAGTCTATGGAAAAAATTGCAGCTCTTTGAAGAAAGTAGTAATTTAAACATAAGAACAAGGAATTTGGCCATATACTTACCTCAAAAACAAAGGAAAGGAGTCTATCCATCCAGCATTGCATATGTAAGGGATTAAACGTCTTTTAGTCATCATCATCCCCATCCTTCGGTTTGACCACACCTATTTCTACAGTCCCAGCCTCTCTGCCTTTAGTATCACGAATAATCGCCTTAAACGACCCATTATCCCAGAAGTCTTTAATGGTTAGCTCCCGGGTCCTGCCCAAGCTTTCAATATCGCTGATTCTGTTCAAGGTATTTTCCAGGTGCTCTGAAAAGCCTGGTTCCAAACATATCTCCCTGAAGGCGATTTGCATCGGAACAGAGTCGGCTCGAACCATGCCTCTAGAGTCGATGGTAAATATGTTGTCGTGATCGTAACTTTGGATAAAGTCTGCTCTTGTCATAACTTGTCGGGCCTCATGAAGAGGCATCTCCGGTAGGATATAGCCTTTTTCGGGATCGTAGGTCTCCATTGCCTTTTCTCGGTCGACCAGCTCTTTGGCGAGGACCATGGCAGCAGACTTAGGGGAGATTTTAGCACAAGAAAATAATAATAGGAGTTGACAATTGAACGTTGCATGAAACATGCGGAGATGAAAGCACACTCCGTCAGAACGTTGTATGGGGAATTGACAAGGCATTTCGTACCGAGTATTTCTGTTCATCCATCACATCATCATCCATTTCTGATCCCAATATCCAGCATTTGTTGAGAAACCATGTTTTCTCCGCCTGTAGTATCGTCGCACAGGCTTGGAGCATATCCTTCGACCTCGCCACGCGGTTCAAAAATGACAGTCGTCCGCCAACCTTCTGATATACCTTTTCTAGTATTGAATCGTCCAAGGTTTCGTTGAAATACTTTTTTCGGTACTGTCGTAAGGCCATCATTGCTTTCTCCTTGGGAAGATCTGGGAGAGGAATAATTTCCATTCGGGTACCGTAACGCTTTAACCGTTCATACACCCAGTAGTCATCACTGTTGAAAACTGAGGAAATTCCCCTTTTAATATATAACGGAGTTATGTACGTGGTGGAGCAGGATAACTACTTACTCATTGTAACCAAGCTACTTGCCGCCCATTGCTCAGCACGCTGCTGGATCATTTCTAGCAGGTCGCGTCCATCCTCATCGTCTCGGACTAGATGGGTACTATTAACAATTAAAATGAGAGGCTTTCCACCTTTGCGCCGTCGCGCAAGAGCGACTTTCTCAAGCTTATTAAGAGCTCGTTCAATATCTAGCAATGCGGTGGTGTCTCGCGGCCCTCTGATGCTAAACAGACTGCCAATGTAGCTGTAAAGGAGAATCCACTTAGTAAAGAAAACCAACTGTCCTTAAGGTTATTTAAAGGTTTTAACAATTATTTTACGTTCATACATACTCTTCATGAAACTCAAAGTCCAACGCCTTGCCAAGCCGTATACGGAAAATTTCGAGGTCTGCATGGGCTTCAAAAAAAGCCACACCATCGCCATCAATCTTTCTCATGGCGCTGAGGAGCATGGACGTCTTCCCTGTACCCTTTTCGCCGATGAGAAGATAATAACGTCCTCGAGAGGTGCCATTGACTATCTGATCAACCTTGTTTTGCTCCTCGCGTTCGATCCAGTGGTCTGTGTCACTGTCATCGGTAACCGTTGAAGGGGCTACGCCGGCGACTTCGAGGGCCGGATCGCCTGGGTTGAATGCGTTGTCCATTTTTTCAAGGACCAGAAACTTATAGTATCGGTGATAAGAGTATCCGGCAGCACTAGACGGATAAATTGATAGTCAGGTCACGATATCCGGCTCAAAAGAGAAGTAGCATTAGGGGGTTACGCAAGGAAGTCTTTCTTCTTACCCAAGCACAGCAATTGATGCAAACATGGTCGCTGCAGATTCCAACATTTTTAAGAAGGTAGTTTTCAGAGAAGGTCCGGGATCTTCATTTTTATGATTCCTTTCCCTCTCACCCTCCTCCTCAGGACCATCTTGATTCAGGTTTTGGGGACCGACAGGGGGTGCATTCTGCGCATAGCACCGTCGTGTCGGGGGAACAATACCGCAGGGACGGAGAAACTGAGGGCCAATGGCCCTTGGCCTGGGACAAAAAAATACTTGTGTGCGGCTACATACGCGAGCCAAACGCATGGCGCGCGATATAGATGGAATGTTGCTCAGGCTGGAGGTCCACAATGCCGATTTAGATGCCGGCCCAATAAGTAAACCTGAAGAATTCTGATCTTGCCCTGCAGCTCCTAACTTGCGACCGGCGTTGGATTTAATAGTACCAATGTGGAGGCATTGGGAAGAAAAATGAATGGACGTAGCATAAAATATCCTTGCGAAAAGAGTGATAAAAAAAAAACAATAAGAAAAGTAAAACATTAAGTCAGCGAGAGTTGATGTCCGTCAGAGAGATTCAAGTTCGCAAAATCGATTGCTGGGCTGGGGTTATTCGCCGGCGAGCCGCCACTGCGCCGGTGCATCTGGGCAGCGGCCTTCAAGAGGTCCCAGGATGTTTCACTAAATACGCAATCAATCAGCCAATGGATGCATGTCAAACAACGCTTACGGAAGATCTCGATGGAAACATTTTGATTCAAGGTTCCATTACAGAGTAATTGACATAGAATTTGATTACTGGATATAGCAGGCGGCTTTATCTATCAAGTTGGCGATTGAGTATTTAACACCTGCTTTGATATATCCTCTTGCCAAGCACATACAATGATGTATGGAGAAAGACTCCGAAAAGTTTTCACCAGCTACAAGGGTACTTACTCCGTACATCTGGCCAGGAATCCAGGGAGCGAAGATCTAGCGCAAACAAGATGTGGTGGCTGATATAATTGTCACAACATGCGCAGGATTTTCGCAAGGATCTAGTTGATCAGGTCGCAGGCTCAACAACATAAGAAGCGACCATGATCCTACTCTTTCACTTTCCTCCTTCGCGGTTTCACTTCAATGTAGCTCAGGAGTTTCATAGATGCCTAATGGAATGAGTTTTCAGAATGCGAAGATTCAGTGATTGAATTTCTTCCTTGAACACTAAGCAACAAATACTACCAGATCCGATGCATCTGTGCGAATGACCCTCCAATCGCTTTGTCAAACTCCCTCGTTTTCCCTAGCAACGCCAGAAATCCGCAGTTACAATTTTCATAACACAAACCCCATCAATATCAAATCCGGTCATGGTGGCCAGGAAGGTGTGTTTCGCGCCAGCAGGTATACCGATTTCGGGATGAGAGGCGCATCAATCGGGGTGGAGTATCCGGAGCCATTAGTATTTCACCACCCCAGAGCCGGGCGAAAGGGCCCTAAAAGGATACAGCCCCCAGGACAACAGCGTAGAGAAATGGATTATCAACCTTTGACAGTCAGGCTTGACTGTTCAGGGAAATGTATCTGCCATTTGCCCATTGACTCCCCTTAAAACGTTCAATGGCTTGCACAAATTTCGCTCATATGTATAGCCTCCGGAGCAAGCGTACACACTCATAGGCCTAGTTCTCCGAGAGTAACTTGAGATGCACGTTTCTTATTGAGTTGAGCTGATTTATTCTTCAGCGCAGTGGGACCGGTTGGGTGTATCTGGTTGTTCGGGATGAACCCGGTGCCGTATTTTACGGCAAGTTTACGCCTAAACCCGTTATGACCCGACCAAAAAATCCATTCCGTGAAATTTTCTCCAGGTTTTTGCTGCCGTTTTGGCAGGAAGAAATTTTTTTTTTTTTTTTTTCTCCCTGGTCAATAAGAAAGTGAGAGCTCACTTCTTCTGCGTACTCACAACCATATATCCTGGCCCTTCATTTATTTATTTCTTTTTCCTTTTTGTGCTCATTTCTCTTCGTTTGTTGTTTTATTTCACCCATTGAGTTTCTATTTGCAGAAGAAGGGAAGGGCTTTGTCAACCCTCATCTCAATTTGAGTGCCGATTGCCATATCTTGTACCCGTTTTGTTTTTCTACAATATTTAATAATGGAGCAACCCACCAAGGAGAAGGAACCTTCCAAAGGTATGAGGGCTTCCTGCAAGTCAAGCAGTTGATCAATGCTTTGACGTTATCTCTTGGTAACTTGGAAAGCTATCTCAATTGCGTTCGCTAATCCTTCGGCTTCAGAGGTTGCGGAGAAGAATGGAGACGAACAAACCCCCAACGGCCATCACGTAGACGGAGAACATGACGGAGGTGGGAACATTCTGATACCCAAATGATACACACTAGGTCACTGACGCTGATTTGGGGTTTGAGTTCAGGTCTCTTCCAGATTTCCGTCAAGCTTCCACATGAGCCCTACAACATCCAAGTTACGGTGAGAAAACCATCTCCCTCCGCCAACAATGGTAATTCATCCATAAAGCTTACTCCGCCTATAGGTATCGAGCCAGGAACAAGTCCAGGATGTTCGTCAATCGATCGTTGAGCTGCCGGGTACCTTTCAGTACACGAGCTTTCACCTGGAGCATAATGGAACCAGGATAAATGACTACATTGAACTGTCCGAGGTCAAGGACATCCAGGCGAATTCGGAAGTCGTCCTGGTCGAGGACCCCTACACTGAGAAGGAGGCTCGGATGCATGTGATTCGGATAAGGGAGCTGATCGGCGCCGCGGGAGATCGTGTCGACAACCTGCACGGCATTTGTGCTGGCTTGTCGCTTCATGACTCCGTCGCTGCTGGCGAGCAATTGACGGACACGAAGGAGGGAGAGAGGGGCGTGGTCAGAGATCACGCGCTTGTAGACTATGACATGACAGCTCCTCCAGTTTTGCAAACGATACTCCCCCGAGCCCAGCCGTCACTGCCCAAGACGGTGAAAGCAATTTCTCTTTCTCCTTGGAACCCTCCTCCTTACCACCTTCGCCAACGGGGGCATTTATTATATCTCCAGGTAACTACGAATGAAGGTGAACAACACCAGATAACGTCCCACGTTTCTGGATTCTTTGTAAACAAGTCCTCAAACGCCAAATTCGACCCATTCCCCAGACCCGCTCCCAAGAACTACAGCGCCCACTCGCTATTGACCTTAATCTCTATGCTCTCTCCCTCATTCGATGCCTCATTTAAAGCCCTTCAAGAATCAAACAACAAAAAGGATTTACTGACTACATTCCCATTCCAAAACTCCATTCCCAAGAACCCATGGCTTGTGCCACCCACTTCATCCGCTGTCACAGCCCATCAGTCAGACATCACCCGTTCCCAAGAGAACTGCTTGATTTTTGGCGTGGACAATTCCGAAACTTTGAGGGACTGGAATGAAGAGTTCCAAAGCACAAGAGAGCTTCCCAGGGAAACGGTCCAGGACAAAGTCTCTAGGGAACGTTTGACTTCGAAGCTTTTTGCTGACTACAACGACGCAGCTGCTCGTGGAGCTGTACTAGTTGCAAAGGGCGAAATTGCACCCCTGAACCCAACTGAAGGAAAGGATGCGCAGATATTTGTTTATAACAATATCTTCTTCTCCTTCGGAGCTGATGGGGTTGGAACTTTTGCGTCGGAAGGTGGCGATGAAGCTGCCAGGGTTGCGGTGGGGAAAGACGTTGTCGGCGCGAAAGCCGTCAACCAGCTCGATATCCCCGGCCTCTTCACCCCTGGAACTGTTGTTGTTGACTATCTGGGTAAGCGTTTGGTTGGCCAGAGCATTGTTCCCGGCATCTTCAAGCAACGCGAACCCGGCGAACACCAAATCGATTATGGAGGAGTCGAGGGAAAGGAAGTTGTTGCAGAGCACAAAGACTTTGTTCCAGTGTTTGAGAAACTATCCGCCTCGCTGCGAGTTAAGAAGCATCCGGTCTGGGACAAAGAAGGAAAAAGGCATGATCTGGAAGGAAGTGTAGAAACCAAGGGTCTTTTGGGCACCGATGGCCGGAAATATGTTCTCGATCTTTATCGCATTACTCCACTGGATGTAGCCTGGTCTGAAGACGCTGAGGGACATGAGCCATATCCCCACAGAATGTCTGTCTTGAGATTAGAACTAGTTGAGTTGTACTGGAGATATAAGATGGGACAGTATGTTAAAGCTGAGGTTCAGAAACGAAAGACTGCGAAACGGGAAGCTGAGAAGACTAAAGCCGTTGAAGCTCAAAATGAAGACAAGGCTGAGCTCCTATCAACGAGCGATCCGGGCGAAGGCGAGAATAAGGCAGTTGCTAGCGAACAGGAACGCGTTGACATTTCTGCCTTCAAGCTTGCCCTTAACCCTGATGTCTTCAGCGGCCAAGTACCTCAAACAGACGAGGAGAAGGAGGAGTGGGCCCAGGACGAGAAGGAAGTCCGGTCAGCTTGCGATCACTTGATTTCCAAGGTCATTCCAGAGCTTATCCAGGACTTGCACGATGGCGACGTTGGCTTCCCGATGGATGGAGAGTCATTAACCCAACTCCTCCACAAACGAGGAATCAATGTTCGATACCTAGGCAAGTTGGCCAAACTCTCTCAAGCAAAGGGACAAAGGCTATTGGCGTTGACCGCGCTCCTGATCCAAGAAATGGTTTCTCGCTCCTTCAAACATATCGCTAACCGGTATTTGCGATATCTCCCATCTCCCTTCACTGCTTCCTGCGTTTCCCACTTATTGAACTGCTTTCTCGGGGCTGAAGTCAACTCAAACCCACGTCCAGAGATAGATGAGGAATTGAGGGAAATTTATCCAGAAGGTGACTTCTCTTTCGAAAAGGTTACACCTACCTCGCTCAAGGGGGATATTGAAAAACAAATCAAGATCCGCTTCAGATTCAACCTCGAGCCCAAGTGGACTTCGTCACTCAAACACCTCCAACTTCTGCGAGATATTTCTATTAAACTTGGTCTTCAGATAGGTGCCCGCGAGTTTGCCTTCGAACGTTCGCAGATCAAGTCCCAGGAGCATTCTCCTGAGCCTAGCAGCACTCATAGTTCGCAAGACGAGCGGGGAAAGAGAAAAAAGAAAAAGGGGAGCAACAGTGATTCACCAAGCCGAGTAGCGGCAAGCCCTAGGCCCGTTGTTACGTTTGTGCCAGAGGATATCCTGAACATCGTGCCTCTCGTTAAGGATGCTTCCCCGCGAAGTGCTCTTGCGGAAGAAGCCTTGGAGGCTGGGCGAATTTCGATTATGCAAAACCAGAAAGAAATAGGGCAGGAACTTATCTTGGAATCGCTCTCCCTCCATGAACAAATCTATGGCATCCTTCATCCTGAAGTAGCCAAGCTGTACCATCAACTCTCCATGCTTTACTATCAAACAGATGAGAAAGAAGCCGCCGTTGAGTTGGCACGGAAAGCCGTTATTGTTACTGAGAGGACAATGGGTGTTGACTCTGCCGACACAATTTTGAGCTACCTCAATCTCAGCTTGTTCGAGCACGCATCAGGAAACACTCATACTGCCCTGATTTATATCAGACATGCATTGGAACTCTGGAAAATTATCTACGGTTCACACCACCCAGACTCGATTACAACCATGAACAACGCTGCTGTCATGCTTCAACATCTCAAAAAATATCCCGATTCCCGAAAGTGGTTTGAGGCTTCACTGACTGTCTGTGAAGGCCTCTTTGGAAGACAATCAATCAACACCGCTACCATTCTCTTCCAGCTTGCCCAGGCCCTTGCGCTTGATCAGGACTCAAAGGCTGCCGTCAACCGTATGCGTGACGCGTACAACATCTTCCTCAACGAACTCGGCCCCAACGACCGGAATACCAAAGAAGCAGAAAGCTGGCTTGAACAGTTGACTCAGAATGCTGTGTCCATTGCCAAGCACGCAAAGGACATCCAAGCTCGCAGACTCCGCCGAACCAACCTTTCACCGCGCATGACGATAGGAACCAAACCGCAGCCTCAGGTTGGCCAAAACGCACCAGCGACTACCAACGGAGCAACCTCCAAAAGCATCGGGCTGGACTCGAGAAGTATTGATGAACTGTTGAAATTTATTGAGGGGGGTGGCGAATCTCGTAGCCCTCGCTCTAAGCAGAAGAAGCGGGCTGCAGCCAGCAACCCTAAGCTCCGTGGATCGAAGCAATCCACTGTTCAGACGGCCTAAGTTTGAGTATACTTTTATATTATTTAAACTCGCCACCTATCATTTTTTGATCATTTAATTACCCCGCTTCGATGCATGTTATTATTACCTCCTTTTTATTTTATTTTATTTTATTTTTTTCAAAAGTAAAAGGGTCCGAATTCCACCAGATTCCCCAGAAAAAATTTCCCACCAATGTTAGAAACACCGCTGAGCGGGGAATATATTTGCTTACCAATCCAACTCTTAGATACACAGGAAAAAGAACTAAAGCTCCTCCTCATTTGAGCCAACGTTGATTGTCGAGTTCTATGGGCGATTGTGCTGCTATGTCTAATTTTGAACATATTTCCCCTCCCTTCTTACGACCCCATCTCTACTCACAAAATATTCTGTTATTTTTTGCATATTCTCTATTCCGTCGTTTTCTTTTGTTTGTGGTACCACTTCATTGTATAAAATCTAGGGATCTACATAGCATGGTTTTTTTCCCCCCTTCATATCTCATTCTGTTTTCAATCATGTCCAAGGCCCCATTCTCATGTACTTTTTCTTAAGTTTTCCCTAACTGTATGATGATATGTCATTTTTCGTGGGAAGCAAGTGAAAGCAGAATAACATTGTATTATAGAAACATATCTTTAAAATGATTGACATCTTCTCTCATTTCATAATTTGCTGTTTGAAACTGCGAAGGGTTTCAAAGCGTCTGCACCATCCCAAAAAATTTTTGGTGGAGCGGAATAAAATCACGTGATATGTAATTGTTTACATTCCGCCAATTTTTGACCTCAATCGGGAACAAATTCGGAGCTTTGGATATGCTTCAACAGCTGTATGACAGAGTACTCGTTATTATATATTTTAAAGCTCGATTGCTTGTTAAAATATATTAATATATCGTTTTACTTCTTTCATGAATTTCTTCTGGAGGTTTACGATAGACCGCTTGCGGAGGTTGGGAGAGCTGCGACGCTGATGCCGCAGCCAACGGTGGTCGTGTTGCGTTGAGCTGGTATGTCAACACGAGAGCCGTCCGATTGTTTACTCAAAAATGGCGTTGCTAAAACGTACTGTCTTTAATAGTAGTGGAAGGCTTCGCGGATCAAAGTTTCTCGTCTTGTTGTCACAATGACGCTGAATTCAGCCACCTCCCGTTCAAAACCAGCCGCGTCGGAAGTCGCCATCACATCGAGGTGGTGCAATAGGGCGCTGCGCCCTTTAACCTCCACTATATTGCGTCTGGAAAAGCATTGGAAGGTAACGCGCATGGGGGTTCCAACGCTGAACCATACCACTGCCACTGCGGTTGAGTTAAGCCATACGGCGGCACAAACGGAGCGACTAGCTCCCGAGTCCGAGTCCGAATCCACGCCCGATGATCCAACTTGGGTTCCGGGTGGTGCTGCGCGCAGGCGTATTAAGCATAAATATTCTGCTCGTACTGGTAGCAGGTCAAGGGTCGTCGTGAAGAGCCCCGAGACTCAGAAGCTTCAGCCGGGGGAGTTTTCAATACCCACGCCGCTTATCCACGAGAAAAAAAGACACCATCGAGAAGCCCAGGAGCCAAATGGAGTCGCCGGTGGGACGATTGCAAACGCCAACGAAGACTCGTCGCTTGAAAATTCCCGTCCGGGCCCTGTGAAGCGGAGATTATCTGCTTACGGATGGAATAGCCGGAAGACTTGGACGGATGCATGTAATGAATATAACGAGCCGTCGTATGTTGCCATCGCGCAGGGGATTTTTCAAATTTGGGATACATTTCTTACTATGACAGCTCCGGAAAAAAGTACGAGTCTTGGAGCAAGATCGCTTATGCGCATGGCTCTGGGCACAACTTCCACGTACATTGCGAGGGAACAGGAGGCTGTGGATAATTGCGAGGACAAGGACGAAAAGGTCGACATCGCCAATGTTATTTTCACAGAGCTAGAAAGTATGTACGGTACATCTAATACCGGGTGGAAACCACTGAAATCGCTCGTCCGTCTCCACGGGACTCGTTTGGTCTGTGACGCGATTCGGAAGAGGTGGATATCTCCGATGATAGCTCGTCAGCTAGCATTAAATTCGATCGATTCGTCTTCGTACGATGCTGCACAAGAAATAATATCTGCTTTGCTCTCTGTTACCATGAGGGTCGAAGATCCCAGGCATCTGGATTGCTCTTTATTTTCGGCCAGAAATTTTGGTCTATTCCATACGCTAGCTGCATATGTGAACAAAGCGAGTCATTTAAGCTTCTTTTTTCGCACGATTGGGTCCTTATTGAGGTGCGGTATTGTCCCAGTTGAATGGATAGCTACGGAGTCTATGAAGCCATTCGTGACTCATGCTATTCGGTCGATATCATGCGAAGATCACGACTGTTCCGCGTCTGTTTCATTTATTGTGAATATGGCCCTTGCAGCTTCTGGATCACATACTTACTGCGCCATGCCAGCTTCCAATTCAATCGCTATCACGGATAAATTACAAGAATCCGAAGAAAAGAAGTGGAAACTACATTCCGCACATTGCGACCTTTTGGAAACCCCACAAACGAGAGCAAATGGACATTTAGAAACAGCTTTGAACAACAGCATATCAAGTATTTTAGGTATTCTCTGCAGTGCATACATCGTACGTTGTTCAAGCCGGCCACCTGCTACACCATCCAGTGCATCTTCAATTCAACACATACTGGCTAGGCTTTCAGACATAGTGCAGCATGATATCGAGGGCACGTCTTTCCATGTAACCCAAGATCGCTCAAGATCAGAGCTGTTACGAATGGGGCTTATTCTGATGGCAGATTTTATTATCACATCCAACAACATGCAACCCCGGACCAACCAGCAGGCTGTTGATTCTCCAGCGACAAGGCTTTTAAGTACTTTTGAATATTTTACTCGTACATTAAGAAGCCGAAAGGACCTCACAGCTAGCCTATCGGCCTTTGTGACCCACATATCACACTGCTGCGGTGAGGTACTGAGTGAAGATGGATTCACTCACCTAGAAATTTTGACGGATGCGCTCACAGGGGTCAAACTACAACCATACCCTACGCTTAGAGCGCTTCTCGGAAAAGTAGCAGTGGACGCGGCACTTAATTTTGCTGAATCTACTCTTCATCCCGATCACCATTCTTGGGCTGCCCATATACAGACCAGAGTAACGAGCTATTCTAATGGGCCTTCAGGGCAGGATGAAATCTTCTCTTTAACGCCGTCTTTAGCTCTGTCCAAAACTGGTTACATATGGGAAGAAAGCATTGGAGAATGGATTACTGCGGGTCGCCCCAATGGAGCACGAAGGAAATTTCGAACATGTCAAGACCAGATGAGCTCCCTGCTAGATCCACTAGATAAGCTCCAAAATATAAATGACTCAGATGATGCGATAGCATCCAGAAGCTCTAGTACATTTTCAGCCTGTACAGAGCGGTATCGTTCGAGCATTACTTCGTCAGACATTACCTCTCCATTGTGGTCTCGGAAAAGGAAGCGTGTTGTCAACGCCCCAGACTTGGATTCGAGAAAACACACTAGGATATCATATCCTTTGTCACTAAGTGCACCTCGTCGCCGACTACGGTCCAGGAAAGCCCGTTCTTGGAATTTTTGCATCGATGAGCGTGATACAAACGACTCCGAACCGCTGACGTTTGGCCGATTCACGCGGTCGAACATAACGAAGAAACGTGATGTCACTGAACTAAATATGACGAAAGCAAGGCTATCACATCAAAGGACGGAAATCGATCGTTCTTTTACCAACCGCGTCCCTGTTGTTGAAGTTAGACTTCGAAAGCCACCACATCGAGACAACACGGTCGAAGTAGTTATCATTCATAACAGGCAAAAACACTCGAACACGAAACCCAGCGAGTCTGCAATTCAAGATGATGTGATATCAGAGTCTGATTATAGTGAATCTGGCAATGATGATTACTGTAGAGATAACCATGATGACATCGACAGTGATGACGAAGATATCCTTGCCAGAGCATTACCTCCCTGTTACCCTTTGCGACGCAAAAGCACGTGTACAGCTAGGGCGAGCGAAGAAGTGCGGCCCCGCACTACGGCAGAAACTCGACTTCGGACAGCAAGGTCTTCTACCTCATTACGAAAACAGTCCATCTCGCGAGCAGTAAATAATGATATTGTTGGTTCGAGTGACGATGAATTGAGTTTCCTTTGATGTTTTTGGTCTAGTTGCGCATATTCCGATTTTCGATTAGTATTTGGATTTCGAAATTCAGCATTTGATCGCCTACTCGTTGGTTTCCGTCGTTGGTAGACAGGATACGCAGGTCATGAACACACTGATACAGCCCTTTTGGGCCTTGATACCCCTATTGGATTACCGTTCTTGGACTTTGTTTGATATTTGGGCCTCGGGTCTCTGGAGTTAGTTAATTGGGTTGGCTTGATTGCCTTGCTGTTTTATATATAAATATATATATACCAAAGATTGCAAGGGTCAATAACCGTTCCCAGGTTACTTGTACAGTGCATTATTTTTGGTATTTATATATGTTCTGTTCGAAGAATTTTAGACCCCGCATCTTATTCCCCATTTCCGATTTCACGCGCCCTCTCACATAAACCTACTATATCGCCCAGGTCACCCTGCCCTTTTAAGAGAGCGCGATCTGTACCTGACAATTAACTCTTTGATTGGCACGCCACGTTTCATTCATCAAAATCGGTAAGTAGGCATTGCATACATTCCATGGAGACAAGCATCAATCATGTCCTCTGGTTTTTTATTATGTGCTTGTTCTGCGGTCCTGTCCTTCCAACATATGTCTGAAAAAGCATGAGAGATATAAGTGAAGTGACAGGGGTTGGCCCGGGCATAGCTGTTAATAGTGTAAATGGTAGGGTAACAAGGTGTAATAGATGTGCAACCAGCGGGAAACAAAAATTGCAGACATATCTATGCAAAGGAAAGGGGCCCAATAAAAATGATAATTAAAAAAAAAAAAAAAAAAAAAAAAAAAGGTACAAAGCACCCTTGGATTCACGAGCTGGCGTGACTGGGAAACTTATTTAAAACCTTGCGAATAAACTCCAATTAGCCTACGAATTGTCGCCAGTCGTTTCTTCAGCCGTGATAATATCTCATCCTAATCATAATTTCAATACAAAGTTCCATTGGGAGTTATGTCGTACTCCGAAACTCCTATCCAAAAACGCCTCGTTCTTTTCTTCCCAGCCTCTACCTAAAATTTCTCGCTGGTAAAACACCGCGTCAATTTAACTAGGAACCATGCGATGAACTTCAACGCAACAGTGAGGCCCCAGATAACAGCTTTAAATCCCCAAAATATAAGCTTGAGCACAGACCTCATGATTCCAGGTAATTCCTCTCCTTCGCGAGATCCGCTGCTATATCGACCGTAGTTTTCAAGGTCAATTTCCTCAATCACAACTGGGGCTTTCTTAATACTCTTTTTCACTTTTGTCTTCGTCTCTGGAGAGGAGGAGGATGACCTCTTCCAAAACGAATACCTTTTCTTGCGCTTGGAAGAAGAATGAATTTGTGACATCAGCATAGCTTCTTGCTCTGCCTCTTCACGCTCCGCCTGTGTGGCGATTAGCTGACCATTAAAACATGGCTGGAAGGTAGCTGCCGCTGATGGTGCCCTGGAGGACGTGACATTATATGGATCTGGGAATTCTCCTTTGGTCACAGCAGTTTCGATGCTCATTCCGCCAAGAATGTTTCTAATAAATTGGTCCGTGGCAGCGATTATGAGAACTGAGGCAACTAGGGAGTCTATGCAGTATAAAGCCGGAATCGTGGAGGATATGATGCCCGCCGAAATCGACAGCGTCATGGTTTCCAAGTCTAGAGCTACCAACGGAATATCTTTGGTCGAGTCCCGTCCTGGCATTGTGACAAGAATTGATGGAGGATGGTCCAACTGTGCGCTATCTGTTGTAGAGGCGGAGACCGAGAGGCGTAATGTTTGGCCCCGTTTATTTATGATGGGGAGCCCTTGCTGTTGGATCTCATTTTCCCGACCGTCACTTGGGTCATTAAACAAAGCCTGGTGCAGCACGTCGTACCGACCATGAGACCCGTTCCACTCTAGTATGCAGGACTCTTGAGCTTCTGCCCGCCTAACAGCATCCTCCTCCACCTCCATTGCGTCGGTTGGAGCTAGCTGATGTTGCCTTGACAAGCTCAACGCTTGATCTCTAGCTAGGATCTCTGCCAACATGGGGAAAATAACCGTAGTAAAGCCATTACCTTTAGGTCTGTTAATTTCCGTGTTGCTCAGTGTAACTATGGGAGACTTGGTATTCTCTTTGGTGGGGTGAGATCTTTGAATGTCCACCTCCCCCATTGAGTTAGTTTTGAGTGTATATAGTGTTGCAGATTGGTTTCCAAATGTGTACGTTAGATGGTCCGTTCTATGGAATCATTGATTAGCATATACTCCAACGCAAGATGTACACGATTGCCTTTCGACTCACTTGGAAATACGTAGGTGAAATGTTCCGAGTTCAGGTTGTGGCCTTCTCCATTTGCAGCCTCCCATAGACGTGTGAGTTGCTGGGAGGATGTAACCTTAGCAGCAGCAGCTAGTTGGGTGGACTCGCGCATAGTACGGGAAGAAGCAGACTGTGGAGATGCCACACTTTGGTTATAGTCACATCTCGATATAACTTCCCGCGGAAGATCGTTAGGTCTCGAACGTTGGGGATAGTATTGCTGCTGGCTCAAAGGCACGTTGGGATCGTAACGGGGAAATATTGACCTCATTGACACCACTGGGGATGTAGGTGATCTAGGCGGTGAGGTGGTCACCTCAATTTGAACGGGAGATCCGGATCGAATAGGTTCCGGCGAAGTTGACTGGGGAGGGAGAGATTTGCCATTTTCGGACCGTTGAGGAGATTCCACAACTTTCGATTTTTCTCTGAGTTCCGTATTGAATGAGGGAGAATTCGTGCTCACAATATAAACCGTAGGAGAAGGGGCTAGAGGAGTCTTATTTGTGTCCTCGATGATTTGAAGAATGACGGCCTCGGTCTGGGATGATGTCTTGTCGTCACCCAAGATCGGTGAAATTACTGGAGACTTTGTAGCACGTCGTCGATTCCCTTTTCTGAATGGATTGCCATTGGGCTTGTTTAGAGGCTGGACCTGAGGAAATAGCTGAAACTGAGTCTGGCTCGCCATTCTTGCCCTCGATTATTAAAAATGAAGGCTAGGCTAGCAGCATATGCGTAACGAGTCGTCAGTAGTAAGAATCATACAATTCTTAAGTTTCGTAGGGCTCAGAGGACGGCTTTATTGGTAAAGGAGAGTAACAAAGCCCAGATGAGAAGGCCCATGAGACAGAAGGGCAAAATACGTGTAGCAATCTAAGCTTGAGGCTAACTAGCACGGTGAAGGAAAAATGAAAAGAATAAGAGGGGAGGATAGTTATTAAAATGGAGAAAAATGCTGCCTTCAGTGAAAACGCCATTTTTTCCAAATGGCCAGGCGAGCTCCTCCACAAAAAGAGGCTGATCAATAGGAACGATGATCAATGCACGGGGGAAAAAAAATCTTGCGCCCTCTTTCCCTTGCAATAGCTTGACGCCTGGACATGAATGATGCTTGGGCGATTGAACGATCCTCCAAGGGACAAGCAGATGTGGAATCTATCGCCGTGCCATCCCTGGGGCTCCAGTGATGCAGGATTGGATGCTAAATCCCATCACCGACATAAAAATTGCTTTTTCGTGTTCTGGCTCTTTGCATGAAGAACAAAGCTAGGAATGAATCGGTGGGACCGAGAATTGTTCAACATTCAATGTCAGCATGACCTTCGCGAAACCTCGAGGAAGAGGGATCAAGACACCACATGCTGGGCATGCGATCAAAAAGGTGATTGGAGATTATCCTTGAAAACACATCAACTGTTCGGCGCTTCGATGTTCGAGGGAAACAGTTGTCAACTTCGCCCTTCTCTTGGCACGGCCGGCAGGCAGAGTTGTGGCTTTGGTAGCGGCGCTAGGAAGAGCGGCGCAAAGAGCGCAGCCGTTATTGGATGGGGAAGTTGATGTTCTGTGAGGTGAGATTTGTTGACGTTGTTAGTTACCAAAATAGACATCCATGGATTGGCCTGTAATGTCACGTGATATTGCGCTTTACGAGGCGAAAAACAGCTCTCCAATAATTTGGTAGGAAGGTGCAGATTGCTCACATCACCGCAAGACTATTATGCGCCGACCAGGCAATCCTCCAGAATAGCAATTTGTAAGAAGAAAAAAGGCCTGGGATTAACTCTCATTTGGCCGACTTGTATAAAGAGGTCTAGTATTGAGAAAGTGTGGAAGAATCTAATAACACAATGGTTGAAGACAAATGGTTCGAACCTTGAAAGTTATCCATCGATCTAAAGGCAATAGCGCATAAATTGGCTCCCCGCTATTAGAGGATGAAGTTATTCCTCAGACACAAGGCCTTCGGCCATCCTGATAGCACCTTCCATGTCACCTTTGTTGTACAAAAAGAGCCCCTGCAGAGCCGCAGCACTTGTGGCCCTCTCTGCTGGAATCCTGTGGCCATTTTCATCCTCGATAACACCCAGTTTATGGAGCTTGTCCAAAAATTGAGCCTGGTAAAAACCCGTCTTGTCAAATTCGCCATAAAATCTCTCCCAAAGCTTGGAAACCTGATATCTCGTAGTTTCGCCAAGCCTGACGGTCATATCAACACGGCCAGGTCGAACTAGAGCCTCGTCAAGCCGCTCAACGTGGTTTGTCGTCAGAAAAATTATGCGTTCTTCCGCACTAGCCACCCCATCAAGTGCATTAAGGAGGCCCGAGAAAGTCACATTGGCTCCTCTGTATCCGTCAGCGTCAGACTGCACGCGCCGGTTCCCGAAGGCAGCATCTACGTCCTCCAATAATACCAGGGTGCGGGCAGGTATGATGGTGAGAAGGTGGTTCAGGCGATCATCAGTCAAACCTCTCTCGCTGAGGTTGAGGATGGCGATGTCGTAATCCAGTTCTCCGGCAAGTGCTTGAATAAACGAACTCTTGCCGCTGCCTGGGGGCCCATGGAGAAGATAACCGCGTCTGTAGGGAATGCCACGATCATAGTACCAGGATCCGCTTTGGAGAAAATCCTTCACATCATCTACTATCCGTTCTTTAACACCCTTATCCAGGATAACGGATTCCAGAGGCCTCTTGCGCCGAGATTGGCCAAACTGCCTCCACTCAGTGCCCCAAGAATTGTATATGACGGTTTTCCCTTCCTGTGACCGCGCAGCATACTCATGCGCTTCCTTAAATAGGTCTTCAAAGATACGTCTCTGAGAATACAGTGTAGTTAAAGTAACAGTCTCCCACGGTCGTCCAGTTTGGTGATCTCTCGATTTGGCTTCTCGTACTCGGTTGACGAATATAAACGCATTTTTATACCGGAGGACATGTTTTCCAGGTCCGGGTATAAGTGCAAATTGTGTATGCATTGCGCCATTGGGATGTTCCACTTTCTGTGTCTGGATTGATAATTGTCGCATTCCTGGGGTGAGTCTCCGGAGGAGGGAATCGAGAAAACCGGATTTGCTGGCGGCAGGTGCCTTTTGAAGTTGCGACCGTTGATATAGGGTCATCCAGTGCAGAAACCAGCCGTACGAGTCATCTTTAATATTTATTTCCACCTCAACAAGCATACGCCTCCGGAGGAGAGCAGCACCATGCCGAAGGCCTCGCTGGGCGAGTGTCAGTCCAGCTCCAAGGCCCGCAAGACCAAAGCCCTATTAATAGCATGACCATATCAGCCTGTGATATAATAAACCGAAGTTACCCACTTGGTAGAACATACTGCTGTGAAGAAAGGATTGCTCGCGAGCTGCGAAAAAAGCCCGACGTCTGAACTTAGATTCGAGAGCTGCTGTTGAGCTTTCGCCTGAACAATCAAGTCATTGTGATTTGTCGGTTGGGCCAGCGCAGGCCCAGTAACTTCCATTCCCTTGAAATTGCCCCTATCGGCATCATTGCCAGACATATGTTCGAATCATCGTGAGCCTCAGAACGCCGTTTGACCAAAAAAAAAAAAAAAAAAATGGCGGCCATCAAAGGAGTTCGCTCGACGCTAATCCATATTCTGCTAGTGGACTTAATGGCAATCTCGGGCTTGGCATCATGGAAACCCTAATCGGGTTAACTTCAACGTTGTGCAACTGACCTTGCGGCAAAGCATGCCATTTTGTCTTTCCTTTATGTCCCCCATTTTCCATTTTCTCTTCTTCTTACAAGCTGGACTATACTGGATTTCCACATTCCAAAATTCTCAGTACACCCGGCCAATCATGTGCATGAACCTAGCGCATTGTATGGTCGATCCAGTTCAGAGTACCCTGAATGTGCATAATTTTCCCTGTCCATGGACTCTATTTTATCTTTTTTTGTGCCTCATATGGAAAATAGACTCGTCTTTTTCGCTATCTCTGGTCGCGCAAATTATATCAATCATCCGAGTGCCTATTTCTCATAGCCGAACTATGAAGCGGTGAAGTCACGGCCCCTGGCGCAAGGTAACTCACAGTCTCAGCTCATAAAATACCCTCAATCCGTACAGGACGAGACGCAGACGTAAACTACAAAATTGGAAATCATTCAACATGGATGTTATGGCAACAAGGGCAGATGCATGCTAATTGGGTTGTCTGACTACTTTGTATTGACAAGGACATTTGTTCTCAGCAAAGAGAGAATGAAACGAGTTAAATAGACCATATGTAACCCAAGGCCGCAATGTGCTGTACAAAGGCCTCCCCTGTTCTTTGGATGCGTTTATTTTCTGCATGAGAATCTCGATTTTATCTACCCGATTTTATCTACCTTCGACTTCGGAGGTATTGATGAAACGGGATTGCATTTGTCTCCCCTCTGTGTTAGCTGATTCACAATAGTTTTGAATCAAGGGTTGTTAACATGATCGAGATATTGGTCCACTGAGGAAGGAAGCAAATACAAATTTGTCACTCTTTATTTGTAATTAACTTAAACAATAACCAGTGGTCTACATGGTAAACATGGCCAATGGAGCATAGGGACCTACCTAAGCATCGTAAATTTTTTTCTTTTTTTTTTTTTTTTCCGATTTTATATTTAGTCTCGCTAGATAACTTATTCATTTTCCCGCCGAACCAGTTACATTCATACTCATCTCCTACAGATTTTGTTGTCTCTCTGAATCAAGAAGCTCCAATGGCGGGAAAGTGATTTTATTCACACAACAATCAAGGAGCTCAGAAGAGTAGACTTTGGTCAATTTTTACCAGAAGCACTCACTAACAAGCTAATGAGTTGAATGCTCTTATGACCTGCATGAATATAACCACGGGGCTAAAAAGCTGCGGTATTGACGGGTATGCTCCTATTGTGTCCGTATTGAGAGGTAAATTATATAGAAGATAATCACATAAAGTGAATAACTTGAAGATATACCTTCAGAACGGGAATAAGGGATGAATCGATATATTCGCTATCTCTAACCCTCTCGTGTTGCTTCTCTACCGTTCACAAAGCTCTGAACACCAACAACTGAGCACCGGAAAGGCCAGTAAGTTAGAAGGCCCTGATTTCCAAATACCCCATTTTCTTGGAATTATCCCTCTAGATTCCAGAGAAAGTTCGCAGTTGGCTTGAAAGAGAGGGGGAATCGAGCGTTTCAAAAGCAGTGAGTCTAGTCTCTCATATTACATCGGACAGCAGCTGATCGTTGTAGAAAAGGGAATGATAGAGGAAGAGCTAATCTTGGACCAGCGGGTTCGGCACAAACGCCTTTTCCGGAGCAGCCGCGAGAGCTACAGCGACGATGATTCCGACACCAATAGAACACCTGTGGCCTCGGTCCAACAAGAGGAAGAAGTTTTGTACGAGATCGATCCGCGAGCATTAGGAAAGTTGCCAGAACGTCTCCAGAACAACTATCGTCAGTTATTCCAGGAGCGAGTCGAGAGGTTAGCCCGGAAGAACCCGAACTTCAAGTACCGCCAATACGATTATATGGACTACTGGCCAGAAGAAGCTTTCAGTCCAGATGAAGAGGAACAACCAAGATATATGAAAAGGAAATATCCGAGGAAGCACAAGGTATTGCAGGAATTGGAAATTGCGCACGTTTCTCGGTTGAAAGCCACTGAACAAAAAGGGCAATTGCACGTCATGAATCCTGATCTATCGCCCGTAGAGGACAGAACTAGCCAATGCCTAGAAGACCACAAAGATAGCACAGAGTATAGTGGAGAAAAGGGAATAAGGAATAGCCAATCTGAGGGAACCTTAGATGAAGTTTTAGCAACATTGGTCAACAGTACAGTATCGGAGAAGGGCAGTTTGGCTTCACTGATGGAGGAGGGGTTGTGGCATGTTAATGCTCCTCGGAAAGCTGATAGTTGCTTTCAGGCACGCAGAGAATTGGAAAATCCTACGCTCAGTTATCAGTCGTGTGGGAACAACGACGACAGTCACCACGATTTGAGAAATACATAGAAGGGATTTTGAGCCTCGGAGTTGCAATGTGAAGCGCACTGGCAGCATTTGATCAATGAGAGTCATTGACCACACTTGTTTCAGTGAGGAGATAGCTTTCATCGCCAGCAGGATATTCGGACATTGGAATATAGTGCAAATAGGATTTGGATACTCCGCATCGTTTTCCGCATGAGCCGAATTCTACATCTGGGGGCTGTTTGACGTGGGATGGAATGCTGGGAGCTTGTTGAACTAGGCTGTTTTCAGGCTAGAGCGAACTTCAATGTTTGCCACTTAAAAAAAGTGAACCACTTCAGTGCCGCCAAAAGAGCTTCCTCCTCCAGCTGTGCCCAGCGCCTAGTCTTGCTACGAGGTGTTCAGTTATTTTCTTCTTAATATTATAGTGTGTCTATTCTCTTGGAAAATTTCCTAGCCTCTCACTGTTTCCCCGCCAGCGAAATTACTTTTGCCCGCCACTGAAAATCATCTAGATTTTCGTCAAAATGCAGGCTCCTGTGGTGGTGATGAGTATGTTCAAACCACCTTTGATAATGGGATGGGACATAGATTGCTCACGTACGGTCTGCAGATACCCAGAGTGGGGATAGACAAGTTGGCCGGAAAGCGCAATTGTCCAACATTACCGCTTCAAAGACGTAGGTGCTTCCGTCCCCGGAAGAACACGACCCCACAATTGAAGCATCCTAGCTAACGAAGCATTGCAGTGTGGCAGATATTATTCGATCATGCCTCGGACCGAAAGCGATGTTGAAGATGCTTCTTGATCCTATGGGCGGAATTGTTCTCACGAACGACGGTCATGCTATCCTTCGAGAAATCGAGGTGGCTCACCCCGCAGCAAAGAGTATGATCGAACTCAGCCGGGCACAAGACGAGGAAGTAGGCGATGGAACTACTACTGTTATAATTTTAGGTGCCTACTCCCCGTGAACTTTGCAATTCCAACCACTTTCTAACAACCGACAAGCTGGTGAAATGCTGGCCCAGGCGCTTCCCCAACTGGAACGTAACATCCACCCTGTCGTTATAATTTCGGCTTTCAAACGGGCTCTTTCAGATGCACTTGCTATTGTGGAAGAGATATCTCTACCAGTTGATGTTAATGATGACAAAGCTATGTATAAACTGATACAGTCTTCCATTGGCACGAAGTTTGTTTCTCGATGGCCCGACCTCATGTGCAGCTTAGCATTAAAGGCTGTGAGAACAGTTTCACGTGATGCTGGTGGTGGAAAGCAGGAGGTTGATATCAAGCGTTACGCTCGTATAGAAAAGATACCGGGCGGAGAGATTGAGGATAGCGAAGTCATTGATGGGGTTATGCTCAACAAGGATATCACGCATCCAAAAATGAGGCGGAGAATAGAAAACCCAAGAATTATCCTCCTCGATTGCCCTCTCGAATATAAGAAGGGAGAGTCTCAGACAAACATCGAGGTTTCGAAGGAGGATGATTGGAACCGCATATTGCAGATCGAGGAGGAACAGGTCAAACACATGTGTGACGCAATTCTTGCACTGAAGCCGGATCTTGTGATCACTGAGAAGGGTGTATCTGGTAAGTGAACCTGCCGATTATGCAATTAAGTTGCCAGGGCTAATTCATTGATAGATTTGGCGCAACATTACTTGGTCAAGGAGAATGTCACTGCCCTTCGACGTGTTCGCAAGACTGACAATAACCGAATCGCCCGTGCAACTGGTGCGACTATTGTTAACCGAGTGGATGACCTGCAAGAATCCGACGTCGGAACTCGATGTGGTATTTTCGAAATCGAGAAGATTGGCGACGAGTACTTCACATTTCTCAGGAAATGCAAGAGTCCGAAGGCTTGCACAATCTTGCTGAGAGGACCGTCAAAAGATATTCTTAACGAAATTGAACGGAATTTACAAGACGCGATGTCCGTTGCAAGGAATGTCATTTTCTGCCCTCGTCTCTCACCGGGCGGTGGAGCAACTGAGATGGCGGTGTCGGTGAGATTGTCACAGTTGGCAAAATCCGTCGAAGGCATTCAGCAATGGCCTTACAAGGCTGTGGCAGATGCGATGGAAGTTATCCCAAGAACACTCATCCAGAATGCTGGCGCCAGCCCCATTCGCATCCTTACTAACCTGAGAGCCAAACACGTTGAAGGAAAGAACTCCTATGGAGTTGACGGCGATACAGGAGAAGTTGTTGATATGAAAGCCTATGGTGTGTGGGAACCTGAAGCTGTTAAATTACAGAGTATCAAAACTGCAGTTGAGGTAAGTTTTAAAATATTCGCTCTAAAACATGCTTCCATCTAACGTTCCTTTCTACAGTCTGCGTGCATGCTACTCCGAGTCGATGATATCTGCAGTGCCAAAACCCTGAAGCAAGCTGCGAATGTTGGCGGCGGTGATGAATAGGTGATTTGGATTTTTCTCAACCGGATAGATCTCTATCCCATCTCCCGCAAGTCTTCAACAGCGTTTAGACCTGTATGAATAAGCGGAAAATTAATCAAATAAACCATCAATCATATAATTCCTGTTATCACCTACTCGTAGCATCGCATTGTACCGTAAAACTCTCAGCCCCTGATCTTCTCAAATTAATAATCCAAGTAACGTTACTCCAAGAACAATCAGTCGTCATCGTGAATTATAACCCCAGACTCTTCTTTGGTCCGATCCGCAGCGTTCTCTAATCCGGACACCTTATGCTCATCCCCATCCATCCCTCCATTAGAATTCCCCTCGTTACACCGCTCCCGCATTTCGGAATTAGGACCAGCAGCCGAGGGCCCTGCAGCACCCTTCTTCTCCTTAGCCTTCTTCTTTTTCTCCCTCCTTCTCCTATTCTTTTCCGTCTTTTCCTCATCTTTACGTCTAGCTTCCTCTCTTCTCCGCTCAAACATCTCATCCGCTTGCTCCCTCTTCAGCTCCTCCTCGATGAGCTTTAAGCGCTCATATTCTCTTCTCCGACTGGCTTTGTAGACGTGGAACTCCCCCGAGCCCGCGCCGGCGGAGGAACCCTGGACATTGGCGACGATTTCTGGTGGTGGCGCTAGAGATGAGCTTGTGCGGGGCTTGGAGGGATCAGGGATACGGATGTCCTTCGAGGGATCTTTAAAGAGAGACTGGATTTGAGTGGCTTGTTCGGAGACGGGGGTGAGCGCGCGACGTTTTAGGGGCCGCTTGCTTCGGGGGTCTTGACTGGTCGGGATAGACTCAGGAATGGGCTCAGACATGCTGAGTGAGTGTCATGGGTAGTTACGGCAAACCTCGAGTTACATGTAGCAGAAGACGTTGGGGTTGACCAGAGTAGGGTCTGAGGATGGCAAAGATGAGGGCCGCAAGTGAAGCTTGATAATAACTTTGAGACGGAAAGGAACCTCAGCGCGGTAAATCACGTGAGTGTCCGCTAACAGAATAGCCCCAGACCTTGGCCGGGAGCAAGTCTAGGCCTTTCTGTTTTGATTTTACCTTCACGGGTAACCGAGCGCGATCCCAGATTCCTCCAGCAAAGTTGAGTGCTCCAAACACAAAAAATCCCGCGATACCTTCCGCTATGGCGGCCATCCCATGGAACATTCCTGGGTCAGCGTCTCAACTTTTCTTTCAAGATAAACAATTACCTCAATACAAAGCCTTGCTTGCAATCACGGATGTGCCTCATCCAGATCGTTCTATCCTTGGGGCCTTCATCAGCGACGCCTTTGAGCCCGAAGAAGCAGCTCGGTATTTTCTTCGTATGACATGCGCTAGAGAACATTCTCAGCCAAAGAGACCAGTGTCACAGTTTTTATCAGACTGGAAAATCGTCATTGATAAGTGTGAGTCATCAAACCCAGGGACAATATTGGGCTTCCCTTCTAAATTTGAAGCGTAGTTCGACCGGCACGAGCAACGTCACTGTCCAGCGAGATACGGATGCTCATCTACGATAGAGATGGAGGATGCTGTTGTCTTTCGCGTACGCCCTTCAAATCATACTCAGATCCCGACGAAGAATTCGTTCACATAGTTTCGCCGCTTGCGTTTTCAGACCAGGATTTGTCCGAAGGGGTATGTGTGATAATTACTATAATATGAACTAGCTGGCGGGTACGTGAAACGGCCCTTTCTGAAATGCTTGAGGCTTTCCTGTCGCGAAAGTCACTAGAAAATTGGCGCTCGTTTTCTTCAAATCCGCACCATCAGGTGTCGGAGAGACTCGATAATCTTTGGCTGTTGTCCACGCCGGCATTTGATGCTATTAGAAAAGGACAAGTACATTTCAAGGTCAAAACTTGGGTAAATAATCCTGATAGGACCAGAAAACAGACTGTTAGTTGATATATCTCCTTATCTCCCTATCTCCTCAGAGTTTTACATTGATACCAACTAATCGCAGTATTTTGTTGGTAGCAACACGTTCACACGCGGACCTAACGTTCTCCGTTCTTTGTCGACAGATACAATGGTCCTTGAGAATCGGACCCCTCAACTAACTCCTATCCTTGACGAAGAACTTTTTGGCTTTCATGCACGTTTCTCAATAGTGTTAGCGTGGATGGACGCCAAAGAGCATATGAACACATCTTTTATTCGAGCATTCGTTTACGACAAATTACACTGGGTGGGATTTCGCATGTACGGTCGGTCTCTTTCGATGACAGTCCAAAAACTACCTTTTGGCTTGTACTTGCGAAGAGGATCTCCAGTTTTGACTCCGAAATACCATGTCGAAGCTCATACTTTGCGCCTGGTAGAGCAGTTTACCCGTATTCCTGCACCACGGCCGGTCGATGTCTTGGGGACACCTCGTTTTTCGTACTTGCTCATGACTTGTGTTTCTGGACGCCCGATTGGGCCAATGATAGACACAATGACTGATGAAGAGTTGAAGCAGGTTGTACTGGACCTGAAAGAATATGTTTCACAGCTTCGAAATATACCAAGACCAACAACAGACTTCCAAATTTGTAATTCCGAGGGAGGTGGTCTCTTAGATTGGCGGATCCCTGACAGCCAGCGTGAAGAATTGCGGTTCAAGACTGAAGCCGAGTTCAACAAATATTTAACAAACCCTTTTTGGGAAGAAATTCGACAACGTGCTGCCCGATCTCATGATATCTGCCACGAAATCGTTTTACTCACGGTGACTTGAACCCGAGGAATATCCTCGCAGAAAATGGAAAAATAACCGGTATTGTTGATTGGGAAAATGCAGGCTGGTTTCCGGAATACTGGGAGTTTACCAAGGCTCATTACACTGTCCGAAGCTTGATACACTGGCTTGCTGATATCATCGACCGGGTGTTTGAGCGTTACCGGGACGAATTGCTGTTGGAAAATATGCTTTCTGACCTTCTAGGTCCTTTCTAGCTGGTGGTCTTGTCTGTCGTCCATTCATTTTGATTTTCAAGATTCAAGTTCAAGCTTCTAGTCATTGTTCCAGTTACTTTAGCCAAGACCATTTATTTTATATAAGAAGTTCTTGCTCACAGCCGCCATTAGAGAGACGTACAAATGGCACAAATTTCAACAGTGAAACGCATTCATTGATGAGGATCTGAATCTGAAATCGATGCAAGCCATACAATGGAAAATTCGCAGTTTTAAATAAGAAATTGAGAAGATCAATATTTCCAAGACCCTTGAATGAAGAGCGCAGTCAAGACATGATTTATAACTAGACAACCGTCCTCACATATCAAGGAAAATTTACCACTTGAGCCTCACCTCGTCCCCTTTCTACTTCAGGCTTGTGAGAATAGGCGTTGGACAATATCTCGGACTCTATTTCGCCAAACGCCTTACTAAGCACAATAATCCCATTATTGTGCAGCGCTATGACGGCGTCCTCGACCCAGACTCGACATGAGGACTCCTTACCCGTGTTGGGGGAGGGGTTGCCGTTCGCGTTAATTCCGTCCAAGATGTTGATTCAAATTTGCCCGGCGCTTGGGTCGAAGGAGCCAATTTTAAAAGCAAACACCAGGCTCAGAGAGAACGGTACGCTGGCGGAAGTTTTATCTTCCAGCTTCCAGCCACCTTCACGGTTCGTTGCGTGCCAAACACGTCTGCCAGGGCTGGCGGTTGGTATGAAGATTCCCCAGTGGAAGTCAGGCTCGGCCCCAGGACTGCTGAGTATGAGGTATATCGCGAAATCCTCGTACTGAGCAGCGATGGCTTCACGAGATAGGGTAGACATGGCTGTCAGAGGTGTTCAGGAACTGTGTCTGTAGGTTGAACGAGGCTGAACAGTTTGAGGAATTGGAAATGGAATTTGGAATGACCCAGAACTCTAGAGTAAACGATGGAGCTAGTGTAACCAGTTTAACGAAAGCGGTCCGAGATAGTAGTAGAATTGACACAACTATACTGTGGTAGGATGATGAAAGTAATGTCAAATTCGGATGAAGCGGTCTCTTGACAGACTTCGGCTCTTGTGTTGGAATTACTTCTGCGATGGAGACCTTCGTTCTGCAGCCGCCCACTTCCGCGCTCTGTCGATGCCTGCTCATCCTGGTCAATAAACAATCATTCGTACTTTACCCTATCACATCGCGGGAAAACATATCAAGAGAATGTGATGGGTGGTGCATGAGTGATAAACAGCGTTAGGGAGGCCATGAGAGATATAGACCGTTAAGCAACCGCAGAGCAAGTTAGTTATTCCTTCTGCTGCTAAGGTGTCTGAATGACCATATAACGATTAATTCTTTGTAACTCAATCTGACAACATCTCAAAACATTAGTTTCCCCACTGTTGTTGACATTGGGTCGTAGCTTCAGTGCAAGCAAGAAGCCTAAAACTTGAAGCTAGCAATCCAATCTCTGGCATCCTACCTGCAAATAAGTGAAAATTATTTTGTATCCACGCATTATTTGCCGGCAATATTGTTGTTGGACAGAATAGATATGATAAGCACATTGCCCTCTCTTCTCCACAGTGATTTTCATGCATCCGACAAAGCATCTACTGACATTACCAATTTATGGATGCGGTTTAACTTAGCTGCAGTTTGGCGCCAGGCCATGCCTCACGCCACGAGCGTCATCAGAGCAATGTGAATCTAAGTTTCTAAAGACGCTGGGGGTTGAGACTCGCCTTTCGCAGCTAGGGTTCTACTCCCTGGCGAAAAGAGCCGCCAAACTAATGTTCGAACGACGCAGAGATATCAGATAACCTATCTTATCTATTCATGAAAACCTTCATGAGTCCGACCCTGTCAAGCTTATATATTCATCTGTTGGCCCAGCGGATGGCGATTCTATGCCGTCGTTATCCGAAATCTGTAGTGTGGTATGTCATGCTGGTTGATTAACTCAGAGAAGGAGCCCTATTTTTATTCCCGGCTGGAAACCAGAGCTGTAGAAAGCGTCTGGGGAAGGCTGGAGTGTGACAAACTTGTCTGGTGCGGTTATCATCATACGTACCGGCTGAGGGTTTCGAGGAGAAGAGGTGGTGGGTAGAGAGATGAGTTAAACCATGAGAAATTTCTCTCGGAAAATGAATTCTTGTCACGGATGGGAACTTGAACCCCGCATTGAGGTAGCTTAACTATTCTATACGGATTGGTAGCGAAAGTGCAATGTAATTCAAATCGCACAAGCTATGACAAATTGACAATTTGGTCTCTCGCAGGCATCATCACGGCGTTTGTACTACTTATTACTCTCTAGGTGCAATGCAGGCCGGGGAAGTACCACCAGCTAAGACTCGGCCTCATTTGGTGAGCTTCCTTATTGGTGTCTCCGTCTATGGTTCGCCAGCAACTTTTGTCGTCCACAGTCATTGCGCAGTAGAAAGTTGGAAGCTTTATTCAGCTCGAGTATGTATGACGTATGGGCATTTTCGGCTTTGTGCTGTGATATGGCTGTTGCCCTGGCAACGGAATTCCCTTGCGGCCTACATAGATTTTTCGACAACTCGCAACACCAGCAACAAATGATGGCAGATTGCAACCACGTCTATTTCACAATCCAACTTACGTGCCCAGATTCCTTACCGTTGGTTGATTGTATCTTTCGAAAGTTCCTCATTTATTTAATCCAGTGAATCTAAATCGGAGTAATGGAATCTGACCCGAAGCCCTCGGATGGGCACACGTCGCTTTTCCAGGTCTACCTGCGGCTTAGGCCGCCGATGAACAAGAAAGAGGCAAGCAATACTCCAAAGCAGGAATACCTCACGGTCGAGCGCCCGGAGCCCCAATTGTCTGAAGATGGTGGGAACCAAAGCCACCCCTGGCCCACCCATATCACGTTGCAGCCACCGAGCGATTCGAGAAAACGAGCTGTTGAGAAGTTCGGGTTCACAAAAGTGTTTGAAGAGAATGCCTCGCAATTGGAACTTTTTGAGGAAATTGGGATGCCCAATTTAATAAAAGGTGTTCTTTGTGAGGGTAGAGATGGCCTGGTTGCTACTTTGGGTGTAACTGGGAGCGGAAAGGTTCGATATCTCTGCGATTATTTTGTTGACTCGTCCATATATCGAGAGTAGGGGCGAGAAGCTAAATAGTTTATTACTTGTATCAGACGCATACTATACTTGGGTCAAAGTCACAGCGCGGAATAACTCAGATGTCACTCGATGTCCTCTTCCGTTCCCTTTCGTCAACCATTCAAAATTTGGATAACCACGAAAACCCTCTACTATTATCGTCCATCGCAAACTCCGACCCCTCAGAAGCCCAACTCTTTACTGCGAGATCATTTATTGAAATGGTTTATAGTGACCCATGGAACGAACGAGGTCGAGGTTCAAGGGCCCAGACTCCGATGTCAGCTATGTCGAGATGTCAAACCCCGATGACGGTACGGAACCCTTTTGATTCCCCATTTCCTATTTTACATGCGAATTCCTTCTCTGCTGGCTCCATTTTGGAAGCATTCATCCCAAAAAATTCAAACTTTACCCCTAGACAAGGCTCATGCACGTCAACGATTCGGCTTGTTTCTCCAATAGAGTCAGTTGACGGTCATGGAGAGAGTTGGACTTCTCCAAAGAGAAACTTTATTCCTTCCCAATTGCCCTGCTGGAACCACCGCAAATCTTCAAAACGTGTAGCTAAGATTACCTCTCACAATAAACAGGATTCGATGTCTGCTATAAATTTCCCTCGACGCCATTTGCCTCATCGGCCGAGTGCGCTCCCCCAATTTCCCGATGTGAGCGACTTTGCGATTCCTAATCCGCATGAAGGCGTGACTGTGGTATTAGTATCGATGTATGAAGTATATAATGATCGAATTTTTGATCTCCTTACTCCCCCAAGTTCAGGAACGGGTTCAAGAGCGCCATTGAACCAGAAAGAAAGACGGCGCCATTTACTATTTAAACCTACTGAAGGTTCACAGGACCGTAAGGTCGTAGCTGGTTTGAGAAAGATTGTTTGTGGCACGTACGAAGACGCTCTGATGGTTTTGCAGACGGGCTTGCTGGAACGAAAAGTGACTGGAACAGGAAGTAATAGTGTTAGCTCACGAAGCCATGGGTTCTTCTGTGTTGAGGTGAAACGGAGAGTCCGAGATAGAAGGTTCGGGGACGAATCATGGGTTGGAAATACACTGACTGTGGTTGATCTTGCTGGTACGAACTATATTTACAATTTATCCAGGCAGCACATACTTACTAACCTTGAATAGGTTCCGAGCGGGCGAGAAATGCAAAGACAGCAGGAGCGACGCTTGCGGAAGCTGGGAAAATCAACGAGAGTTTGATGTATTTAGGCCAATGTCTCCAAACACAGAGTGATTTCCAGGACGGGAACAAAGTATGTATATCTATTATTTACCATTGCTAGAATTTTACTAAATATTCTTTTAGCAGGCGCTTGTACCCTACAGGCAATGCAAACTCACTGAGCTATTATTCTCCAATTCATTCCCTTCACCGAACCATGGAGCATCGTATCCGAGGCACCCGCAAAGAGCACTTATGATCGTGACAGCAGACGCCCAGGGTGACTTTAACGCGACATCTCAGATCTTACGCTATTCCGCATTAGCCCGCGAAGTCACTGTGCCTCGTATACCCTCCGTTACAAGCACGATTTTGGCCAGCACAGGGTGTGGAAGGAGAAGTCCAACTCACGCTAACGCTACCAAGTCGAAATCAAGTCTTTACTGCGCTTCAGCGGAAGAACTGGAGACTGCAGCATTGGAAATTGCAAAGATTAGTGATGATTACGATGCCTTGGCCATAAAATTGACGGAAGAAGAAATTGCGAGAGCGGAAGCTGAGTTCCATTGGAGAGCAGCCGAGGAAAGGTGCATGTCAATTGAACAAGATGTGCGGGAAGAGTGTTGGCAGGAGATGGAACTGCGACTTGAGGAAGAGAAGCGACGATGGCAAGCGGCTTGGGATGAGCAGGTAAATGCCGTTATCACAATAACCCCTATAGATTGGCATATTCAAACTAATCGAAATATAGGAATCACGTCATGATGAGCACCTGGATAAAAAGTTGGACTTGCTGTCAAGGGGTGTAAGGAGTAAGCGCTCAAAACCCTTCCCGCCCTCTCATGCTTTTATTCAGTAACTAGGCTGACTTGATTTAATATAGTCCACAACGACCCGCAAGCGTCTTCGGAAGACCAAATAGCTGCATTAGAGCAAGAAAATGATACTCTCCGAAAGAGGATCGCCAACCTCGAGCGTGAACTACATTCCCGCTCTCCCACCAAAAAGGCAACAAAATCCAAGAAAAACATCATGGCGCAACTTGGGCAGGACTCGCCTGGCTGCGACTATACCAGTTGTGAAAGTGACGTTGAGAACTCACTACTGAAGCTTCAACATCTCAAACTAGATTCAGAGATTAAACGATGCTCAGGATCTATGTCTACGCCCAAAAAATCTCCCAAGGTGAGAAGACAGCGAATGATGACAGCAAGACAACGGGATTTTGCTCCAGAGAGTGTCTTGGAAGAAATAGAGTAAAAAAAATATGACAAGTTATGTTGCGTAGTTCGCGATGATACCCCTGCCCTGATATTGTCCTACCGATGTGATAGGTTTTATGTTATTGATCCGAGAATTTTCCGTGATGGAGAAATAGGAGGTATTTCCAGATACAATATTTTAATATGAATGCCCGTTCCTTTTCCTATCGCTGAGAAAGACCGCTTAAGGAAGCTCTGGCTTATTTAAAATTCGCTCAGACACAGTAGCTGGTTGTGTGTATATCGTTGTAGTTCGAGCAGAGAAGAAAAAGGAGATTTCCAAGTGAGCGGAAATGTGTCTGTTGATAAGACATTGTTTTACATACATGATAGATATAGCATCTAGAGAGAAGCTTCATTAAATTACACCGCAACAAGCCAAGTCCAATGTCAACCCAGGTTGAAATTGCCACCATACCCAGAAGCCCAATATCCGTCTGCCTTCCCAGAGTAAACCCCGAAAACAATCTTTGATCCATAGAGAACAGTAGCAAAAAAACCGTTTAGATGATTGAAGGCTTAATGGTAATAAACACAAACGCATATTTGCAATGATGAGAAGGAGCATATAATCCGATCCAACGAGCAATCAAGCATTTTCCTCCATGTCCACATCTAAAACCTCCGCCTCCTTAAGTTCGAGTTCCAATTTTGTATCCTGCGCCGAAGTAGCGGGACCCGACTCGACCTCTGCACCATCAGCAAGGCTGACATTCGTTGACGGGCCGTCCGACGCGGGTTTTGGGGATAAATTCCTCTTTACTGTTGTGTTTTCTTGGGCGGTTGTCGCTCCCATAGTCGCCACTTCATCCAGTTCCACTAATACCTTCGCCTCATCGATTTCGCTAAGTTCACTTTCATTATCGGCGCTGTCATGCACACTGCCCGGAACGCTACTTTGGATGCCTGAGACTTCCTCTTTGCTAGGTAGTGACGGTATCACAATTTCAATGGCCTCTTGTTGCTTCACTGTGGAAGTCTCTTCTTCCGCTTGGCGTACTGAGGTTTTCGGTGCTGGTTTCGGCGCTAGGGCCCGTGTAGCGATTGCTTCGGCTTTCCGTTGGAGCTCTTTACGCGTTACTCCCTTAAAACGCGGCTTGGGCCCGGGTTGCGCGTGAGTCGCGGAGACCGGTGGTGTTCGGTTACCCTCAGGCCCTTCACCGACCATAAGGAGATGATCTACCTTCATCCGTTCATGGTTTTCTTCTTCAGTTGCCTGCTCCATGAAATTGGATATATTACTCTGGAAGAGGACTGCGTAGGTGTCTGCGACAAGTTCTTCGAATATCGTAGTTTTCATTAGACCATTGTTCATCTTTTTCAGTTCAACAGCATCCTTGAGCAAATCCACCAGCTGTGTTTCGGAAGAATGATGCTGACACCAGTCTTCTAGGCGTTTGCAATGAATGGTGAACTCGTCATGGCTGACAAGTTTGAAAACAGTCTCTTCATGCCCTTCTGGAATCTCACCGACACGGCGGAAAAGCTGGAAGAAGATGTCAGGATTTCCTACTCTAGGTTAAATACAATCTGGACTAAGTAACCTACTTTGACATAAGTTAAGCATATATCTTCCCAGAGCTTAGAATGGTGGACATAGTCGTTCGGTTTCCTTCGCACGCGCCGAATGAGCATATCCAAGTTTGCTCGATCATTCAGCTGGTTTAAAAGGCCAACGAAAAAGTACACGTATCGAGTCGTATAAACAAAGTGCCTGCCAGCGCGTTCGTTTTCCGGTCTCCAAACTTGAAGGGTCATGGTTTTGGTGAATATCTGCTGCGAAATCTCGGATTTGGCCGCCAGAGCAGATGAGTCGTCCTTGGAATCATCATAAAGTACGTGCGCAGCCTGATTACCGTCAGCAAAAAAAGTACTAGTTAGAAGGGATGAGAGATGGCTTACGCGTAAAACAATGCGATGGTGCCAATTTGATTTGTCCGCGCTTCGAAGGTTTCTCAATACTTCCAGTATATAGGGTTTCCAGCCGTCGTTATTTAGGTTCACATTCCGTGCATAAGGCGTAGCAAGAAGTCGTTCCCTTGCATCCTCGGCCTGTTCATAGTTAGAAACAAAAAATTCATTATAGATGCGCACTACCAAACAACGAACCTTCAAAAACCCTCTCTGAACCAGCTTGTGAACAATAGATACGAGCTTGAAGTGAGGCTCAAGTATTGGATCCGAGCGACTGTCCCTCTTAGATGGCAACGCTTCAATTGCATCAACCAGCGAATCTAGTACGTCGTCAAACTCCACTGGAGAACGCTGTCCCCTTGTGGCATCATCGCAGCAGAACATTTTCCAGAGACATTTACTAAACATGTAATAGTTCCTAACCACGCGCATTAAATGTTTGATTCGTGGAGCAAACGGGGGAATGGGATTACATACTTCCAATAATTAGGCCGGTCATCGGTCGCTCGTCGGAAAAGGTAACTTGCAAAGTTCCATGCAGAATACTTGTTCATATCTGGGAATAGTTTTGCCTTGTACATTTGTTGGTTTTCGCCGCTTGTGTAATGTCTCGTAAATTCCATCAGACTAAAAGCTTCCATGGACAATGGTTCTGTCGCTGATGCATACATCCGGAATCCAAATTCCGTGTATAGGTCAGATATCTTTCTTTTACTTTCAGGTGACGAGTCTGCTGTTCGTATGGCAGCTGCAACTGCCATGGTGAAGCAGTGTATTGCCCTCCGCTGTAAAACCGCCAGGTCTGATCGATTGTTGTTCAACTTGTCGGCGGACCATGCGATATCCTCTTCTAGTTTCAAGTCATACACTTGAGCCAGGCGGTACCATGTCTCCCATTTGCCCGTTCCATGTTCCAACTCTTGCCTGAAAAAAGACGCTGCAACATCCAAATCGTCGGTTGGGATTGCAGTTATTCTCTTCTGTGCACGAAATTTCGACAAAAATATAGAACCGAGGAGGAAGTACCAACCCTTTTCCGCAAGCTCAAGACTCTCTGTCTGAACAGGGATCATTGATACCTCTCCTATGCCTTGAGCAGCACGAAAGAGGTCCGATGGGTTGATTGGTGATTTCAAGAACGCTGACAAGACACGCTTGTTGAAAGTCAGCGGAGTAGAGAACTTGGTAGCCCGGCCAATGGCCATCTGCATGGTGTCTATAGTCGGTTTCAATTCCGATTTGTGCACATCTTTGATATTCATTCTATTGACTTGTGTCATAACGAAATCAATCATCATAACAGCTGAGGAACGATCCAGCCTTTCAATGGGACACCCATGATTCGCAATATCGTCCAGGTTCAAAAACTTTAGTCCGTACAAGTCAAATAGAACCTGAGAGACGTCAAATTCATAACTATCCTCTGACGGGAGAGTCAACAGCTCTTTCTTCAAAAGTCTCAAAAGCAACTTGTTGGAATATTTGCAGTAAGACCGGATTCCGAGAGCGTTATGGACAGAGCGTAAGTAATGGATACGGTCATCGTTGGGGGTGTCAAACAACTCCTTATTTTGTTCCATGAATTCTCTAAGTAGTGCGTAGAGCAAAACCCATATTTTTACCTGCATTCCTCGCAGCCTTCCTTTGAACTGCTCCAAGGTCTTGGCTGTTGATGCTGGCCGTATATCCGGAACGGTTACCTGACCAACGCGAATTGAGTCTTCGAATAGGGCGAAAGAATGCAAAAGTTTGGAAATCTGAACTACGGCAGACATCGAAGATTGTAAATGGGCCACGTCAAAGCATTCAAAAGATTTTTCCGGTTCGTCTATCATCTTCCCAACGACCTTACTTAGCAAATCATCAAGGGTTTTAATCCACTTCAGTAGTGAAACCTGCCGATGTTCACTCGATTCTTTCAGGAATGAGGGATTTTGAAGCTCTCCCGCAATTATTTCAATGCTCCGAAGGTAGCAAGATACGACTTTGGGGAAATATTGGATTGACTCATACGCCCCTTGAAGTCTTCTCCAGAGAAAAAGTCTCAAGGTTGCATCGCCCCGGTCTAAAAACGAAATCATGCCTTGGATAGTGGACATTAATGGGTAGTTCGCGCGTGGCTCTGATTTCTCCATTGGTCTTTCAAATTCCTCGGCGGATAACGATTCATTAACAAATTCGACAGATGAGGGGTCCAGTATAGGTTCAATGCTTTCAATAAGACGGACAGGGTCATCGGAATCGGAGCTGAAAAGATTCGTAAAGAAATCCATTGAGTTGAGTCTCGAAATCTCTTCATCTAAGGCAGAAATGGATATCTCAGGCATTGTTAAATTGTTTAGCAAAAGCATCGATGGCCCTCCTAGGGCAACCAATATATGCCTCAAGTCCTGGAGGCAAAGGAAAACATAGCTCCGGGGGACTTCTTCTGTCAAATTTAAGTGGAAAACAGAGGCCCATAAATGACGAAGCTCAATCGCAATGTACATAGCTTTGTTTAAACATACATCGTTCTGATAATTTATAAAAGAGCGGGCGAGGGTGCTCCATCTAGAAAGACGATCTCGTTCTTCTAATACTTTTAAATGATTGCCATCAGCACTGCCAGCTCCGTTCATTGAGGCGTATATATCAAGATGTAGTTCGTAAATGCTTTGTGTAATCTCCGCAAAACCCTGAAGTTGAGAAGGGGAAATGTTGTTTGTGGAGCTGGAGGCCAGTATGGCTTGCTCCCAAGCCATTGAGTCGTTATTCAGCTTTGTATAGATGAATTCGTCATTCTCCGTGAGGATTTTCAGGGCTGCTTCTTTCATATCCTTGGTCCAAAGCCGATTCGTATAGGAAGAACATCCCATGAGCTGGTTCTCCCTTTCCGATGGCAATGTATCAGCGGGATTAGGCTTCAGGTGCTGTTCCAGCCACAGAAATGCAGCCTCACGGGGGCAAAACCATCCACCATTAATATGCTCCAGAAAAGGCGACAATCCATCATCCTCTACGAGAGTAATCACTTCGTCGGGATTTGGATGACATTGCCGTGAATGGTCAAGAAATATACTCATTCCTGATCTTTTTGTTCCATCTATGCCGTCCGTCGAATCCATAGAAAATATATCACTATTTAAAGCGACTTGAGCTATTTTATCGTCCCATATTTCTATTATTTTTCGAAGGTCATTGTAAAGGACACGTTGGGCGATATAGTCCTGGATTTTGTTATCTGGAAGTTCCTGATCGCTATCGGAGCACAAAATATCTTGCAGTTCATCAATCGTTCCCAGATCCTCGACGCCAGCCTTGGACAATAAAGCGCCCACTACTCCAAACATCCACTGGTCAGCATGCACATACTGTTCTAGGTGCTCCTCAAAGTATTTAGCCGCATCAAATGGTACGGGCGCCGATGGCGCGTGGACTTCGGCATTTGATTCGCGAGCTCGAATACGACGGCTTTTCATTCTTCCACCATCTGGATGCTCGTCATTGCCGGCCGACGCAGAAGATCTTTTTCGAGACTGCGGTACCGCCGTTGTCTGCTTTGCTTCATCCTGCGCTATCAGTGATACCTTCTCCTCTGGTTTCTCATCAACTTTGTGTTGGGGACTTTCAAGGTACGTCTCGGAAACCTGTTCTGGATGAGGACTAGGTTCTCTATTATCACTATCAGAAGCGATCGACGCACGGTCCTTATTAGAGCCCTCTGCCGACAAACGAAGGACATGATGAGCCTCCCCCGCATCAGGAACCCCAATATCCAAATTTGGGTTGGCTCTATCCCCTTGTTTTACTGTTGCGGTATTCCGTTGAAGAAGAGGAAGGGAGAACGGAGAAATCTCAATTAACTCATGGCAACCCTGAACGGAAATTCCTAGGGCTGCTCCTGGAGTTAAACTACTCCTGCCCTCTTGCTCATCTAGTAAAGCTTGCAGGACAGCTCCACCTAATGCAGCCCAGCTTGCACAAGTAAGTGAAACCACATGGCGGCTAGGTGAAACTCCAAGCAGGTTCCGAAACGTACTCGGAACACTTAGTCCTCTTGGAAGATAAGGGAAAGAATCGGTTTGCTTCTGCAGAAGACGGAGAATAGCTTTTCTTGGCCGCCTTAATGGGCGTTGTAACACAGACAGCTCGTCGCTGAGGATGTTGAGGACTTGCCGGAGATCTTCAATCGCAAAAGCTTGCTCCAAACCTAGCTGTTCGAACCCGTCATCAAACCCATCATCATCGCCTTCCAACACACTCTCTAGGCAAAATCTGGCGAGGCGATTACTTTGGAGAGCATCTCCAATTCTAGCGCTTTTCCTCCATAGTTCTAAGTCTGTATCGTCTCTCTCCAAGGCTTCAGCGAATGACTTGATTGCTGAACTAAACGTTGCAGATATATCAACAAAGGATTCATAGCCATCATCAGCCTTCGATCTTTTGGTGCGTAGTAAATGCCCCAGATGATCTAGCATAAACTGGCCGCGGTTTTTGTGAGATAGGTAGAGTGTCTGTGGTAAAGCACTGGATATTGTATCACTAGCATCTAGGGGAACAGCTGATCCCGGAGCCGTTTTCTCAAGGAAGCTTTCATATTGGGCATCAGGGCCGTCAAGTTGACTCCTCTTGTACTCCGAAATCGACTCTGGATAGTTGAATATTTCGGATTTAAATAGGGCTTCATATGCCTCCGAGGCCTGGTCATAGAATTGTGGCCCTTGAGAGTGAAGCTTCAAGGCATTATGATAAAGTTTTAAAGCTTCTTCGATTTGAATTTCCTTCGTATCATCGACTTCCTCTTCGCTGTAGTCATCTGGTTCGATGTTGAGGGCAACAAAGGACGTCATCGTTAGAGGTGGGTAAAGATGCGCCCTAGGGTAAGAAAATTACCCGACTCGTGACAGCATTACGTGCTTCGATCGATTGATCAGTACATATAATAATATAACACAACAGTGGCATATAACGACAAGGAAAGAAAAAAGGACACCAGAAGCTACGAGTGTTACCTGAGGTTCGTCATATGTCGTGTTGCAGGACGCAGTCATTGGCGCAGATAAGATCGTCCCGATTAGGCATGGCGCACCAGCTACTCTCCAAGTGGCTTTTAATAGCGGGAAATGCCCAAACCTCAGGCCATTATTTGAACATACTGTGTATGCACCCACGGCGATTCAACAACAACTGGCGTGGATGAGCTGCGCCCTGCATCAGCAGAGCGCTTGATTCAATTTGTTATTTCATACACGCATCGCCGCCTGTTTTGATCCTCTTCAGCTTTCCTAAGCTTACGTTTCAACATCATGGTCGCCCCGGCGGTCCCAGAGTAGGTTATCCCACTGCGCACAGCTATTTCAGAGGAGTATATTAGTTTCCTTATGATACTACATACCAATACGCCTTATGCGTCGTCATGTCCAAGTTGCTAAGATATTTGTTATTCAACATACAGGATCATCGAGGATGAGGACATATATGCCTCAATTGACGCCCGCACGGAAGCCTTACAGAATCTCAGGGAATTAGGTCCCCCGGACCTCGTCCATGTGGTGAAGCAATCAAAGACAAGCCCAAATAACCAAGTATGTGCGTCATGCCGACTCAAGAGGAAATATTGTATCCTAACATGGACTCTTTCCACTTTACAGACTGGTGTTTATCACCATGTCACCGGCGTAGACGCCTCATCGTCGGCCAGCTTGGCTGCTTACGTCAACACCTTAACATACTCCCCCGTTGATAAGAATCATAAGGTTGTCTCGGGATTATACTGGTGAGAGACTTGTGGATGTTCAATCAGACCTGTTATTGACCGTTTACAGTTGTTACAATGCCTTCTCCCATGTTGATATGCGAGTCGAGGTTAAAATTCCCGGCAGCCTCGAAAGCTATTGTATTGATGAGCGCGGAGATAAACGGGTTGTGACAGAAATTCTCTGGCTGGAAACTTTCCTATGTGGTGTCCTGAGAGCGTACTCGTATGCAGACGACGGCAACGGTGATAACATAAAAAAGATTGTTGGCGTTAGAAGGTTTAACCCCGTCACCAATACTGAAATGGAACACAAATTTCTCGACGCGGCGGAGAAGTTATTTTTCAACGGTTTGGATATGGACCCACACCCATTGATAGCGCATTGCTGATCATCATCGCAGGGAGGCAGCTGAGTTCTGACGCGGAAACACAAGTCCCCAACACTGTTACGAATCACCTGACGTCTGGCATTCTAAAATATATCCAAACGACGGGACGATACGCTTCTGGTATAAACCTCTTTGAAAAGCTACGCACGCGAGATGTTGAAGTATCGTCGCTACTAGCGCGCGTCCTTATTTCTGCCGATGAAGAGGTACAAGCCGTACGATTATTACATGATGCACTCCAGGACCTGCCAATGGATTACTCTCTCTTAGATTGCCAAGCAGCATTTTGCCAGAGTAAGGGTGAAAATGAGATGGCACTTGAATGTGCTAAGCGTAGCGTCACTGCCGCCCCTAGCGAATTTAGTTCCTGGGCTCGGTTAGCAGAAGTATATATAAACATGGAACAATGGGATTTAGCGCTTCTAACTTTAAACTCGTGTCCCATGTTCACCTACCAGGACAAGGACTCACCACGGATGCCCCAACCTTCTCGAGTTTTATTACCTATCCTCCCAGATAGCATTCTGGATGAAATTGATGAAGGCCAGCCAAAGCAAGGAGAGCCTCATGACGTCGTGCATCCTACACTTAGAAAGCTGCATGCTGCAGGCTACCAGGGCACGTTCTTGAGAGCTTACACTTTGCTCGCAAAAATTGCGGCGGAGATTGGCTGGGATCAACTCCTGAAGATCCGCAGTGAGGTCTTCGTCATGGAAGAGGAGTATAGAGCGGAACGCCAAGTCAATGCCAAGTGTTCTTCTACAGCTGCCCAGAACGCCAGCACTGTGGCTTTACATGAGAAGAGTAGTGAAGCTGGGCAAGTGAATGGAAATGGAGTAGATGGTCACGAATCAGAGGCGGCGAATGGAAGCGATGAAGAGAACGCATCGACAAAGGGGGATAAGGTTCAAAAGGGCAAGGAGAAATCCGTGACCATTGAACGCCCAGAACAAACAGTTGCATCGGAAATTGTCAAATCCGGCGGAGAAGATGTGAGTGGACAAAACCTGATTTTATATTCCCGCAGAAAACAAACAAGTCCAAGCTGTACTGACACTTTTCCGGCCGTCTTATTTAGCCCGATGCGACATCTAATTCATGTTCGCAATTCATGAACAAGCGATTGTGCGAGCGCTGGCTCGACAATCTATTCATGGTTCTTTACGAGGACCTACGCGTGTACACCATCTGGCGAACTGAAATGGCACAATCTCGCCAACAATCAGTCGATTATAAGAAATCAGCCACAGAATGGGAGATCCTCGGGGAGCTCGCTGAGCGACTTCAGCATTTCAATGAAGCCATCGAAGCCTACCAACACTGCCTATCCCTCAGATTCTCGCCAAAGGCGATGAAGGGGATTCTGAAAATGTATGAGCGTCAAGGCGAAACACGGGGAATGCTCGGTGCTCTGATCAGACTTATTGCCTGGCAATATCGGTGGTATTCAGAGGTTAGTAATATATACACCCAGAGCAAATATAGAAAGGGGAAGGATCCCATTCTATTCCATATTGTAGAGAAACTGACCGCCTTCACCCAACCCAACCATGTAGTTCTCCCCTGAACTTCTCTTCACCATACGCAAACTGATCGAAGAAGAAGGCGCCGTCAAAGTGCGCAGCATTGTGCAAGCCACAAACCTTCCGCAACCCGTCTTGGACCTGACACACCACTACTGCCAACTGTGCGCTACGTTCAGAAGCAATGGTAGTGATGGTTAAATCACTCTAGCCAATTTCTTTTTCCTTCATTTTTCTTGAGCTGACCCCTCAGTGACGCACTCCTCTGATGCTTACAGTACTTACGACATCTACATCTCCCCCTTGAACTCATGGACGTGCTATCTCGCGTTTGATTATCTCATGCCCCTGGTTTACCAGTCACACCATCTGCGATGTGGAGTTGGGTTTGAATGGGCAAGATATCCCACTATATATAGTATTCACACGATCGATTGATCATTTATTACGTTCTTCGGTTACCTAGGTTTCAACCCATGTCATTTTGCTGTCAATTCTTTTCTTTCTTAATATAATGTATCGATTTAAAAAAACGAATAAACCGTTTTCTTTTCTATTTAAGATGTATATTGCATCATTCTTTCTATTCCTTCTCCACCATTGTTATCATCGACCCACAGGACGAGAGTGGAGTAGGATTCAATCGATTGTGTTGCTCTGCATTCGCCTAGTATGTGGGGTTATATATATATATAATATATGTATTTTGCCGAAAAAGGCAATTCTCAATTAACGGGCCCCTTAAGTTACACCTTTACATTCCACCCCGGACCACCCCCTCCCCCCACAGGGTTGGAAAATAATTCAAATCCGCGTCAGAAGTCAATCAACGAAGACAGAGAGCGGGGTGGGACAGGACTAAGAGGGGGGTATACGGAGGCGCACTTCAGATAAAAGACCATTCTCAGCTAGTCAGTAGGTGATTTTACTCGCCATCTATAAACTGAATGAACCCTTACACATTGTTTCCAATGCAGGAAGCAAGCCTGTTATTAGCATTTCCGCGATGTGAAATATAAATTCAAGGTAATTTACTAGGGCGGGAATGAACTTTTGTGAAGTTACGCCCTCCATAACCACTAGATATATATATATATACAGAATATATATTAGTAAAAAAGAAAGAGAGAGCATGAATGGAACATGCCAATGCGTGCACCATTGAAAAGACAACACACTTATCCAATGAGGAAAGGAGCTAACAAAGAGAAAAAAACGTATTGAAATTTCCGTTTCTAGTAGTTAGTTAAAATCAGGCGGAGCGTCGTTTCTGCCAATGATTGGGGTTTGACCTGAGGAAGAACAAAGGTTTTTCTGAGATGATTTATTTAAAGATGTTAAGCGAGGCCCGTTTTAAAATAATTAAAAATAATTTTAAAAACACACACACACAAACACACACACACACACACACGAACGAGCATAAGAGTTGATTCTTTCTCCAGCTTCTCCGCCGATCCTAGTTTTTGTTCGACTTTTTTTTTAAAAAAAAATATATATTTGGATTCCTACGTCGTCAGCGGAGGGAACACGGTTGACGAGATGAGAAAAATCCACATTAAACGAGGCACTGAAAAAAAAAAAAAAACCAAATGCCACCATTAAGAGGTGAAAACATGCGAAATCAAATAAAGAGTGAAAGGTAATGAACCTGGCTAGTTTTCTCCGTTTACAGCAAAAGGGGGATTCTTTCCAGGAACAGCAGAAGGGCTTTTATATATATATATATATAAACATTTTTCACTACCTAAGGTGGAAATAACCGGACATTGAAAAAAAAAAGAAAAAAGAAAAAAAGAAAGATAATAAAACACTTGAAAACCCCACTATTAATTACTTCGTTATCATTGACAAAAAACATTTCCCTTCTGGGCCCGCGGTAGAAAAAGTTCCCCGCGCGCGAAACCCCTTCCCCATAACCTCCCCCTGTCGCAACAGAAAAGAAGTACAAGGACAAAGACAAAAGACAAACTGAAAAGCAAACCACAAATATTTCCGAGATTCTTTTTTTTTTCTTTTACATCCACGAACCTCTTATCTATTGCAACCCCACAGCTACTATATCTTTATTCACCATTACCGCCACTAGTCACCTCCTGCCTCCACAGCAGAAGGAGGTGCGCCATTGGTAGTAGCAGCAGTTTTCTCAGCTGGCGCGTAGTCCTCGGATGCCGCCGGTGCAGACTTCGTAACAGGCGCTGGTCCACCGTTCTCCTTCTGTTCCGCTTCCTCTTCCGCCTCTTCATCTTCATCACCTTCCTCGTCTGCGCCATCAGCTTCGCCTTCGGCTCCCAGACCGTTCTTGACTTCTGCCGTTTTTGCATCTGCATGCTCAGCGTCGGGTTCTGGCGCTACCCTGCGTTTCTTATGTGCGGCTGTCATAACAGGAAAGGGGATTTTTAGGTTAGTAAAGAGGCACGATGTTATAAAATCTGACAAGTGGTGTAGCACTGGAAGGAGATATGAAGGAATCAGACGAATCTCCATCGTCACACATTAAGGGGGCAGGAATTGATTTGCTATCAATTGATACACACACACACCAAAAAAAAAAAGCGAGGGTGGAGACAAAAGGAGGGTAAAAGGAAATCCACTTACGTTCTTCTCCTTCAGCCTCGTTCTCAGAAGCTTCGGATTCTTCCTCAGAGCTTGATTCTCCTTCCGCATCCTCTTCTTCGAAATCAGATTCTTCATATCTAATTATTACAAAGCAAGTGGTTAGTATTATGTTGGCACCGTCAAGATTAATGATTAAGGGAGGACTGGCTATATGAGCTCTAAGCCATATAGCTCTCTCATCCCAAAAAAAAAAAAAAAAAAAAAGAGAGAGAGAGATAGAGAGAGTGAGAGAGGCAATGTCGGATTAGATGGATGGGGAAACCAAAATAGGCGAGAGCCACTTCTGCGATCGCAACAGCCCAATTAACCCAAGGACAAGCTGGCGCGATCGCAACAACAATAGAAATGGGTTCTGCAAATCGCAGCACGGTTTCAATTCCTTGGGAATTGGGAACGATGGCAATGGGCCACTCTTGATGACGTCAAGGAAAGAGGGAGGGCGTATAGAGTATGATGGTGCAGAGGACGCGATTCTGGCAACTTACTCCTCTTCCTCTTCGCTTTCATCGCTGGGTAGAGCTACGAGTTCCTCGCTATCCTCTCCGCGGGTCCGTTTGCGAGTAGCCATTGTGTCCTTTTGGATTAAAGTTTGGCGAGGCAGGAGGTTAATGTGGCAGGTAAAAGGGGTTGTGAGGTAGATGGAATCGGCAGCTTTCTCCTGAAAGGGGGGAATTTCGAGACGGCCTTTGGGGGGGGATGGAAGGAGACGAGGGAAGGGGAGGTGGGTGAGCGGAGGAGGTTATAAGGGGATGAAACAGAACCGGGCGAGATGGGCCAGCTGCTGGTGGGCGCAGGCAGGGCTGTCACGCTATGACCATACTCACTCGTCCTGTGCCAAAGCCTTTGAAGGGTAAGGGTCCACTGCCCATGCTCTGCTCCTCGGGCCTTGGGCTGTTATTACCATGGAGGGCAAGGGAAAGTACAGGGTACAACCAGGTACCTGCTTATCTTAGCTTTTCAGCAGGCAGCCGAGGTACCCCTAATGTAGTTGAGATGTGTAAGGGCAGCCATTCAGACCAACTAGGCTGTAATGACAGGTCTGGTTGTGTAATTTCGGTGTATTATCAACAACGGGTATTTCGGTAACTACTGTAGTTGGTTACAACATACAGATTACAAGTTTATGGAAAACCTTCCAAGGTGGAGCTGGAGCATTCGGCAATGCGTGCCCAGAGGGAAAAACGAGCGTCGTGTCCAACAGGGATGAATGGATGAATCCCTTGTAGCTGGCGTTAACGGTCCCTGTGTCTTTCCCCATTTTCGGCCCTCCCATCCGCCTTTGTTTTCGAGGTTGGCGCCCTTTTTGCGCCCTTTTTGTCTGTATTTTTTGCAAATTTGAGTTTCTTCCCAGAAGGACATTCAATATTGCTTCCAAGCTTGTCCCATTGACTAGCGGGGAGATCCATGTTCCATGTTCCAAGTCCAGCCGTCCCAAGGTAGCTTTCGTGCAGCCGGCCACACGGGCGACCCACTCCAATCAGCCTCAAGAGTGTCCGCAAGTTCATGTTAAAAATCAAATGGGGACCATTCTCTTACCTAACAACACATCTCATCTCTCGTTCAAAACACACGACATCGCACCACCAAAGATCGAAGGAAGAGCATCTGAAGAGG